CACAAAAAGAGAGACAGAAGTAAAAATTGCTTATGATAACTTATTGGTCTCATCTTCAGAACAAAAATCAATCCAACAAATACTATTGGTATTTGCTGTTGTTACGTTCAGTCTGCAATGATAAGTATTTCATTATGTGTTTTTTCCTCATTTGCAATGCATTTCCTTTGCATTGAAATGAATGGGGTGGAATAACGTAACAACAACATAGCTCACATAATTTATGTAATTACGTAAGTTATGTAGCTGCGAGAAAAGCCATTCTGCCATCACAAATCATTTGTTTGTTTGTTTATTGTTTATTGGCTGCCTCTTAAGATGTAGCCCTTAGAAGGCTTAGAAAAGGTAAAGGACCCCCGACAGTTAAGTCCAGTCACGAACGACTCTGGGTTTGTGGCGCTCATCTCGCTTTACTGGCCGAGGAAGCTGACGTTTGTCTGCAGACAGTTTTTCTGGGTCATGTGGCCAGCATGACTAAGCCGCTTCTGGCGAAGCCAGAGCAGCGCACGGAAACGCCGTTTACCTTCCCGCCAGAGCGGTACCTATTTATCTACTTGCACTTTGACGTGCGTTCAAACTGCTAGGTTGGCAGGAGCTGGGACCAAGCAACGGGAGCTCACCCTGTCACAGGGATTTGAACCACCGACCTTCCGATCAGCAAGCCCTAGGCTCAGTGGTTTAGACCACAGCGCCACCCGTGTCCTATATATTAAAAACAAGAACATCCTACATTGTAAGTCAGCAGCAGTATGCACAGATAAAAAATTGGAGCAATTAATAATAATAATAATAATAATAAATTTTATTTATATCCCGCCCTCCCCAGCCGAGCCGGGCTCAGGGCGGCTAACAACAGTCAAATAACAATCAAATAATAGCACATTCTAAAAATATTTCGTTATAAAAATTAGTTAAAATCAAATTGATGACAACCGATTAAACAAAATTCTGTGCAGGTTGCCGGAGGAGGGAGTCAGGCTGCGCCCTGACCAAAAGCTTGGCGGAACAACTCTGTCTTGCAGGCCCTGCGGAAAGATGTCAGATCCCGCAGGGCCCTAGTCTCTTGTGACAGAGCATTCCACCAGGTTGGAGCTGCAGCCGAGAAGGCCCTGGCTCTAGTTGAGGCCAGCCTAACCTCTCTGAGGCCTGGGACCTTGAGGGTGTTATTATTTGTAGACCGTAGGTTTCTCTGTGGGGCATACCAGGAGAGGCGGTCCCGTAGGTACGAGGGTCCTAGGCCGTATAGGGCTTTAAAGGTTAAAACCAGCACCTTAAACCTGATCCTGTACTCCACCGGGAGCCAGTGCAGCTGGTATAGCACCGGATGAATGTGATCCCGCAGCGAAGACCCCGTAAGGAGTCTCGCTGCGGCATTCTGCACCCGCTGGAGTTTCTGGGTCAGTCTCAAGGGCAGCCCCACGTAAAGCGAGTTACAATAATCCAGTCTGGAGGTGACCGTCGCATGGATCACAGTGGCTAGGTCAGGGCGAGAGAGATAAGGGGCCAACTGCTTAGCTTGGCGGAGATGGAAAAATGCCGCCTTTGTTATAGCTGTAATCTGCGCCTCCATAGAAAGGGAGGTATCGAAGATTACACCCAAACTCTTAACGGACGGTGCTGGCACTAATTGCACCCCCGCAAGAGATGGGAGTTGCCCCCTCGATCCCATATCGTCCCGCCCGAGCCAGAGGACCTCTGTCTTCGAAGGATTTAACTTCAACCGGCTCCCACGTAACCATCCAGCCACAGCTTCCAGACATCTGGTCAGTGTGTCTGGGGCCGAGTTAGGGTGGCCATCCATCAACAGATAGAGTTGGGTGTCATCAGCATACTGGTGGCAACCCAGCCCAAAACTCCGGACAAGCTGGGCGAGGGGGCGCATAAAGATGTTAAAAAGCATCGGGGAGAGAATCGCACCCTGAGGCACTCCACACACCAAGGAGTGACGCGATGACAATTCCCCCCCAAGCGCCACCCTCTGTCCCCGATCAGAGAGAAACGAGCGCAGCCATTGAAGGACTGTGCCCTGGATCCCCACGTTGGCAAGGCGGTGGTCCAGGAGTTCGTGATCCACCATGTCAAAGGCTGCTGACAGATCTAGAAGAATCAGCAGCCCCGACCCGCCTCGATCCAGCTGCCTGCGGAGATCATCTGTTAGGGCGACCAGAGCCGTCTCGGTCCCATGACCAGCACGGAAGCCGGACTGGAATGGATCCAAAGCAGATGTTTCATCCAGAAACCTACCAAGCTGTTCAGCAACCGCTCTCTCAATCACCTTACCCAGGAATGGAAGATTCGAGACCGGGCGGTAATTGGATAGATCTAAGGGATCTAACGATGTTTTCTTTAAGAGCGGACGCACCACCGCCTCCTTCAATTCCCCTGGGAATATCCCGGTGCCAAGGGACAAATTGATGATATCCCCCAGGGGGGCCCGCACCTCGTCTGGACACGCTCTAATCAGCCATGACGGGCACGGGTCAAGAGGACAGGTGGTGGGCTTTCCAGCTTGGAGGAATCTGTCCACATCGGCTGGAGATATCCGGTCAAAGTGGTCCAATACTGGACCCGAGGACAGTCGAGGGGCCTCCAGTTCCTTTATTGTATCCAAATTGGCCAGGAGGTCATGGCGGAGCAACAGGACCTTCTCCGCAAAAAAGCTCGCAAATGCCTCACAGCTGTGTGTCCGATTGTTATTTAAATTTGGCTGTCCTTCAAGGGACGTTAATGACCGGATTATACTAAATAATTGCGCCGGGCGAGAGCTAGCGGATGCAATGGAGGCCGAGAAGTAGGACTTCTTAGCGGCCTTCACTGCCATCTCATAGGTTTTCATAAAAACCCTATAAGATGTTCTTGAGGCTCCGTCACGGGCACCCCGCCATACTCGCTCTAGCCGTCTGAGGTCCCGCTTCATTTTCCGAAGCTCCTCGGTAAACCAGGGAGCCCGGTTTCTGCGGGGTCGCAGAGGGCGCTTAGGTGCGATCTCATCGATGGCTGCCAGGAGCTGGGTATTCCAGCCCTCAACAAGCTCAGTCAATGAGTCGCCAGGGGGAGCAAGGTCCCGCAAGGCTTGACGGAATCTATCAGGGTCCATCAGCCTCTGCGGGCGAGCCCAAATCGGCTCGCCACCTAAGCAGGGTGGGGGTGGAAAGTCAATCCTGGCTTTCAGAGCGTAGTGATCAGACCATGGCACCTTCATCGAGGGAGACATGATCACATCTATACCGGCGCCAAAGATCAAATCCAGCGTGTGGCCTGCTTGATGTGTGGGGCCCGAAACAAACTGGGAGAGCCCTAGTGTCGCCATGGAAGACACCAGGTCCAGAGCCTGTGAGGAGGGAGTGGCATCAGCATGGATGTTGAAGTCCCCCAATACCAATAGGTTAGGGAACTCCAAGGCCCAGCCGGCCACCGCCTCCAATAGGCCTGACAGGGTGGCTGCTGGTGCGCTAGGTGGCCGGTACACCAGCCAGACAGCCAAGCTCTCCTCGGAGCCCCACAATTAATTCAATTAATTTGAACATTATTTGTTCAATTAATTTGAACATTAATAAAACTTCACCATAGATTCCAATAAATAAATAATACTGAAACATTTTCAGAACAGCTCAATCAATTTAAATTAGTTGCATTAGAAGACAGGAGCGGGAAACCTTTTCAGGGTGGGATATTGAAGTCTCCACACAGCTGTGACCATGAAGGCTAGAAACCTAATATATATATATATATATATATATATATATATATATATATGCTTTCGTAGATTTTCACGGGTACAGGAATGCAGGTTTTGGTGTCCTCGGGTGTCTTCCCGTGTAAAAGTTGGGGTGTCTAGGCGACGTTTCGACGAGGTCTCACTCGTCATCTTCAGGCTGGTGTTTTCGGCTTCTTGTTACTGGAACAGAGCAGGATCTCAGTGTTTGAGTTCCTATAAATACTGTTGAGGAGGTGTGGTGTATAGCCTCCAATGTTCTGGGCAGGGAGGAAGTTCCCAGGCTAGTGTGCCTTTTCTTCTTTTGTTCCTTAATTACTGGAGGGATATCTGGAGTGATTTCTTGAGTGATATCCTGAGTACCACTTGGTACTCAGGATACCACTTGGATATCCACACCTAATGACCCACCCAAGTGGTACTCAGGATATCACTCAAGAAATCACTCCAGATATCCCTCCAGTAATTAAGGAACAAAAGAAGAAAAGGCACACTAGCCTGGGAACTTCCTCCCTGCCCAGAACATTGGAGGCTATACACCACACCTCCTCAACAGTATTTATAGGAACTCAAACACTGAGATCCTGCTCTGTTCCAGTAACAAGAAGCCGAAAACACCAGCCTGAAGATGACGAGTGAGACCTCGTCGAAACGTCGCCTAGACACCCCAACTTTTACACGGGAAGACACCCGAGGACACCAAAACCTGCATATATATATATATATATATATATATATATATATTAGACGTCTCACAGTTTGAACAGAAAACTATAGATTAAAGTGCTTTGGGGCCCATGTGCAACCTGCAATCTATGTTGCACTCACTATTTTTTAATTAACAAAATTGATATACCTCTTGCTAGAACAAAAGACCTCTAACTTGTTTACCAAAAAAAAGTCTTTAAAAAGTCATGCAAGTCACTTTTAGCTCTCTTTAGGTAACAAGTAACTAGTAAGTAATAATAATAATAATGTACAAAATAAAACCAGTGATTATTACAAATGTTGCAGTTACGTACCTGGATAGGCTTGCTAGAATAAAAATGGTTTAGCAGCCCCTGAAAACAGTACAGCTCGCTGTCTTCCCATAGGCATCAGGTTTGCCACTGTGAGAACAGTAGGTTGGGATATATAAACCTTCAGCTTGATTCTGCCTTCAGAGGCAGAATACTGCCTTGAGAGCCATTTTGATTTTCAATTATTTCAGCAAATGCATCCCTCTCTCATCTCTTTAGGTAGAGTTTCTGGGCGAACCCAAGGGAAGCACTTCATAACAGCCTTCATGCAGAACGGGTTGCAGAAAAGCTTTGAGGATGGCAGTTTCAAACTCTTCGTCACTGGCCTAAAAGACGGCACCTCTGTCACTGTTGCCGTCTACAAGACCAAGTTCCTGAGGGACTTTGCTGTCAAGCGTGGTGAGACCGTGCCAGTACAGTTGCCAAGTAACGTCGAAATGGTTGGAAGCAACAAATTCCACTCTGCCGTCATCGTCAGGGCCTCCCATGATGTCACGGTCCTCTCACTTAGCTCCAAACCCAACTCAGTTGCCACCACAGTTGTCTACCCCAGGTATTTACTTGGGAATACTCACTACCTGGTGACACCTTCTGGAGAGCCTTCCAAAGGCTTCCAGGAGTTCTCCGTGGTATCCAGCCAGGACCCTACTCAAGTCTTCATCTATGTCACCGGCCAAGTGACTTTCCATGGGGTGACTTATGGGCCAGGAAGCAAGCTCGTTGTCTCCCTTGAAGCTTACCAAGCTGTCCAGATCCAAAGCCACCAGGACCTTTCTGGCACCAAAGTCGTCTCTCACAAGCCGGTTGTAGTCTTGTCTGGCCACAGCTGCATTTGGGCACATGACAATTGCCAGCATGTTTTTGAGCAGCTGCTGCCCATCCGGAAATGGGGCAAAGAATTCTTGGTAGCCCCACTGCCCTTCCAGACCAATTACGATGTGGCCTATGTGGCTGCTTGCCAGACAACACACCTCCAAATCCGTTCTGGCACCCATTATGCCAAGCACCATTTGCAAGATGGGCAGGTGATTGCAGTTGAAGTGAGAGCCCAAAAGCCCCTGTACATCTCTTCCAATGTGGGGGTCCAAGTGCTGTTCTACGCCACAGGAGGGGTCAAAGAGGGTGTTCCCTATGACCCCTTCCTCTCTGGTGTCCCTGCAATGTCCGACTACTCCAAATCCTACGGCATCCTGGGTCAGGAAGGCTTCCACAACCTGGGACTCATTGTCGCAGAGAGCAGAACGTGCCAGAGCATTACCTTAGACAAGCAACCACTGCATTATGCACACTGGCGGGTCATACCAGGCACTTCCTACTCCTGGACTGAGTTCATCTTCAGTGGGCACCAGGCAATGCACTTTGTAGAACACCCCAAGTCTACCTTCAGCCTTCTGAGCATTGGGGTCGCCCCACACAATAGCTATGGCTCTGTGGCCTTTGCCATCCATTGTAAGTCCTGCCTTCCTTCCTCCTTTCCATCCTTCCTGTTACATGCTGCACATCCAGAGTACCCCTGATGTATCCAAGATCTCAAAGTCATCTCCAGCTGCCACATCTATTTCTTCTTCTTAACCTATATCACCATATCCCAGAGGTAAGGAAGCTGCGGCCTTCCATATGTTGTTGGACTCCAACTCTCAACTACATGGCCAATGAACAGGGATGGCAAGAGTTGTAGTTCAGCAACTATTGGAAGACCACCAGTGTCCAGTCTCTGGTGCAGGAGCTATTGTGTCTTTTTCAGTCTGAGCACAATTAAGGCAGAGTTTGCTTCTGCACTAGAGCCATTTAGCACTGCTAAGGCATTGCTTGTACCCAATCAGCTGGAAGAGTGATTAAAATGGTCATTCCATGCAGTATTTAATGCTATTACTAAATTTAGCAAAGCCCACCAGCAATGCTATTTTTCTAGAAAAAGAGGTGCCAGAATTCTCTTAGAATGGCAATGGCACCTATCTGAAAGGTGCCGGAGCTGAGTTCTGGCTGGGGGTGGGGGACCCTGCCCACCAGCAAGGCCAAGATCCTACAATAATGTTTATTCAGAAGCCTCATTCAGTAAATATCCCTACAATTTTAAGAAGAAGTTCCCTCTGTGTGGCTCCTACCAACTGCAGTATCAGAGAGGAATTGCCTCTTAAAAGCTTCTTAATTAATTAGTTCCTGTTCTAATCAGAGGGGCTTTGATTCTTCATTTCCTCACTTCTTTCTTTTTTATAAATTGCAGTTGACAAAAAGAAAAGGAAAGAAAAAGAATGAGAGCAAACCAATGAGCAAAGATTGCCTCCCTTGAGAGAACAGGAACTAAGAAATTCAATGTTAAATGTACTTATGATTTGCTTAATGATTTTATTATATGTTCACTTTCACTGAATACTGTGCACAGCCTACACACACACACACACACACACACATCAAGCAGTCTAGAAAATTTCAAAATAAAATAAATCTATAATGCCATGTCCCTACTGAGCAGGAAGCATAAGATCCAAGAAGGAAATTTCTAATTAAAAGGGCATTAGCCCTGAAAAGCTTCAGTAACATTACCTGTGCACTTCTGTTGCATTTTTAACTTTAAAAATTGATGCAAATCAGGTCTGAAAAAGGTGGATGGGGAACACAGAAAGCACTGGAATGCAATAGATTGGCAATTCCATTTTCTGAATTCTCTCTGACAAGTGAGTGATCAAAGGATTAAACTGCTACTATGGAACATTTAGGCTGCTTTAGTAAGGGAATTATGGAAGTTTGAGAATAGTGTCATGCAGCACTGTGTTCTCCCATCTTGGGTGTCCAGATATTGCTGTATCCCATATCTCATCATCCCCAGCTGGCTTTGGATGATGGCAGTCGTAGTTCAACAACAGCTGGGGACCCAAGATTGAAGAGCACAGGTACATCACGCAATTTGGCAAAAAAGGGAAACAGAAGTGATTTTATGACACGTCAGACCATTTGCTCACCTAGTCCAGAACGATCTGCTTTCCTTGGCAGCAGAGCTGCAGGGCCCTACCCAACTCCTGTTACCTGACTCTTGTAAGCAGAGGCGCCAAGGACTGAGCCTGGAACACAGACACAATCTGCAAATGGTCTAGAACTGACCACCTTCTGCAAGCAACAGTTCCAGCTGATCAGCCAGCTAGCAAGGGAGTGAGAGGCACCAAAAGTGTGAGGCAAAGGCAAAGTGGAAGTGCTTGAAGAACTGCTTTGCATGCAGAAGGTCCCAAGCTCAATCCTTGGTTTCTCCTGGTAAGGCCGGGAAAGACTCCCTATCTGAAACCTTTGGAGAGCCACATCCAATCAGTGTGGACAATACTGAGCTGGTTGGGCCAATGGTCTGACTTTGTAGGAGGCTGCTTGCTATGTTTCTATGTGCTTTTGTACATACATGACCTACTTCTCCTTAAGGCTGAACACAAAGAGCCTTCTCTGATTAGCTGAGTAGATTGGTAGGTTGATATGGGAGGAAAGAAGGAAGGACAGTGCTATATGAAGAAACCTGCAGTCCCATTATCCCTTTCCATCAGTCATGCTTGGCTTGGCCTGATGGGAACTGATGCCCAACAACATCTGGAAGGCCACAGGTTCCTCACCCATGATGTACAGAAATGGTTGGTGGTGGGGGACAGGCTTTGAGATTCTGTGGAACAGGGCGTTATAACCTATTATTTCCTTTTCTCTTTCATGTCTTTCTGGGACTTCCAATATATTTCTGTACTGGTAGCTCTTCCATTTACCCTCAGTGATTCTTTGTGTTTTCTAGCAGCCCTGCCTCCACTGAGCCCTCATCCCATCCCCTGCAGTGGAACGAGTTGTGGAAAGGGATACGTATGCAGCGTTACGCACAATCAGCCACAATGCGTCCCAGAACCTCAGACCTGCAATACCATCCAATGCCAAGAGGGGACAGTGTGCAAGATAGTAGAGGGCCATGCCAGGTGTGTCCCTCACCCACCATCTTGTCATCAAGTCCAGTGCCAAGAAGGGTCAATATGTGACCTAGCTGATGGCTTCCCTAAATGTATCCCAGCACCGGCATCCTGTGAGAATACTCAATGCAAGCCGGGAACAGTGTGCAGCCTCATCAATGGCTGGCCCCAGTGTGTGCCCCACCAGCCTTCCTGCCACAAAGTCCAATGTGAAGTTGGGACTGAATGCGAGGTTGTCCATGGTCAGCCTAAATGTGTCCCAGTAACAGCATCATGCGGAGTCCTTCTTTGTGATAAAGGGGCCATGTGTGAAGTGATCGATGGCTACCCGACGTGTGTCCGATTGCCACCATCCTGCCTGCATACCGTCTGCGAGCAAGGGACTATGTGTAATATTGTGGATGGTTGGCCTAAGTGTGTCCCAGGGCCATCCTGTGCCAATTTAAATTGTGTGGCTGGCACTGAATGTAAGACTGTGAACAACTTGCCCAGGTGTGTACCCGTCCTACCGTCCTGTGACAAAGTTCACTGCAAGCAGGGGACAGTATGTAAGATAGCTAATGGGATTCCCGCCTGCGTGCCCGTTGCACCTTCCTGTGGCACCATTCACTGCAAAGAAGGGACAATCTGTGAGATCACCGATGGCATGCCCAAGTGTGTGCCCACCGTAATATCCTGTGACAAAATCCAATGCGCAGTGGGAAATGTCTGCGAAATGGTGAACGGGTGGCCCAGCTGCGTGCCCCTGCCGCACTCCTGTGAGAATACTGAATGCAAAACGGGAACAGTGTGTGATATTGTCAATGGCTGGCCGACGTGCATCCCAGATAAACCAACGTCGTGTGCGTCCTTTGTTTGCACAGAAGAGGCCGTGTGTGAAATGGTTGATGGAAAGCCAACATGCATACCCATCCCGCTTTCCTGTGACAGATATAAATGCAGACAAGGAACTGTATGTGAAATAGTGCATAACTGGCCCACCTGTGTGCCTTTGCCATCTTCATGTCAGAAAACAAAATGCGCAGAGGGGACTGTTTGCAAATTCATTGATGGAAGGCCCAAATGCATTCCCATCCCTCCCACCTGCGACAAGTTGCAATGTAAAGTGGGAACCATCTGTAAAACAATTAACGGATGGCCAGAATGTGTTCCAGCCCCTCACTCCTGTGAAAACGTCTACTGTAGACAAGGGACCGTTTGTAAAATCATCCAAGGTTGGCCCCAGTGCACAGCAATCCAACCGTCCTGTGACAAAATCCATTGCAGTGAGGGGACAACTTGTAAAATGGTTGATGGTTGGCCTCAGTGTGCGCCTATCCCACCCACCTGTGACAAACTTGGCTGCAGGGATGGGACTACTTGTGAAATTATAGATGGTTGGCCAATGTGTGTTCCAATCCCAGCCTCTTGTGACAAAATCCAGTGCAAAGAAGGAACACTTTGTAAATTAGTTGATGACTGGCCCACCTGCATTCCCATTACAAATTCGTGTGAAAAATTCAGCTGCAGTGCAGGGACCAAGTGTGAGATATACGAAGGGCATCCAAGATGTATTTCCGTCTCGCCTTCCTGTGACAAGTTCCATTGCAAAGAAGGGACTCTATGCGAAATCAGTAGTGGTTGGCCCAAATGTGTTCCACGTTCCAGCTTGTCCTCTTGTGAAAAAATCAGCTGCAGTGCAGGGACCAAGTGTGAGATATATGAAGGGCATCCAAGATGTATTTCCGTCTCACCTTCCTGTGACAAGTTCCATTGCAAAGAAGGGACAGTTTGTGAAATCAGTAGTGGTTGGCCCAAATGTGTTCCACGTTCCAGCTTGTCCTCTTGTGAAAAAATCAGCTGCAGTGCAGGGACCAAGTGTGAGATATATGAAGGGCATCCAAGATGTATTTCTGTCTCACCTTCCTGTGACAAGTTCCATTGCAAAGAAGGGACTGTATGTGAAATCAGTAGTGGTTGGCCCAAATGTGTTCCACGTTCCAGCTTGTCCTCTTGTGAAAAAATCAGCTGCAGTGCAGGGACCAAGTGTGAGATATATGAAGGGCATCCAAGATGTATTTCTGTCTCACCTTCCTGTGACAAGTTCCATTGCAAAGAAGGGACAGTTTGTGAAATCAGTAGTGGTTGGCCCAAATGTGTTCCACGTTCCAGCTTGTCCTCTTGTGAAAAAATCAGCTGCAGTGCAGGGACCAAGTGTGAGATATATGAAGGGCATCCAAGATGTATTTCTGTCTCACCTTCCTGTGACAAGTTCCATTGCAAAGAAGGGACAGTTTGTGAAATCAGTAGTGGTTGGCCCAAATGTGTTCCACGTTCCAGCTTGTCCTCTTGTGAAAAAATCAGCTGCAGTGCAGGGACCAAGTGTGAGATATATGAAGGGCATCCAAGATGTATTTCTGTCTCACCTTCCTGTGACAAGTTCCATTGCAAAGAAGGGACTGTATGTGAAATCAGTAGTGGTTGGCCCAAATGTGTTCCACGTTCCAGCTTGTCCTCTTGTGAAAAAATCAGCTGCAGTGCAGGGACCAAGTGTGAGATATATGAAGGGCATCCAAGATGTATTTCTGTCTCACCTTCCTGTGACAAGTTCCATTGCAAAGAAGGGACAGTTTGTGAAATCAGTAGTGGTTGGCCCAAATGTGTTCCACATTCCAGCTTGTCCTCTTGTGAAAAAATCAGCTGCAGTGCAGGGACCAAGTGTGAGATATATGAAGGGCATCCAAGATGTATTTCTGTCTCACCTTCCTGTGACAAGTTCCATTGCAAAGAAGGGACTGTATGTGAAATCAGTAGTGGTTGGCCCAAATGTGTTCCACGTTCCAGCTTGTCCTCTTGTGAAAAAATCAGCTGCAGTGCAGGGACCAAGTGTGAGATATATGAAGGGCATCCAAGATGTATTTCTGTCTCACCTTCCTGTGACAAGTTCCATTGCAAAGAAGGGACTCTATGCGAAATCAGTAGTGGTTGGCCCAAATGTGTTCCACGTTCCAGCTTGTCCTCCTGTGAAAAATTCAGCTGCAGTACAGGGACCAAATGTGAGATATATGAAGGGCATCCAAGATGTATTTCTGTCTCACCTTCCTGTGACAAGTTCCATTGCAAAGAAGGGACTGTATGTGAAATCAGTAGTGGTTGGCCCAAATGTGTTCCACGTTCCAGCTTGTCCTCTTGTGAAAAAATCAGCTGCAGTGCAGGGACCAAGTGTGAGATATATGAAGGGCATCCAAGATGTATTTCTGTCTCACCTTCCTGTGACAAGTTCCATTGCAAAGAAGGGACAGTTTGTGAAATCAGTAGTGGTTGGCCCAAATGTGTTCCACGTTCCAGCTTGTCCTCTTGTGAAAAAATCAGCTGCAGTGCAGGGACCAAATGTGAGATATATGAAGGGCATCCAAGATGTATTTCCATCTCACCTTCCTGTGACAAGTTCCACTGCAAAGAAGGGACTGTATGTGAGATCAGTTATGGTTGGCCCACATGCATTCCCCGTTCCAACCCAGACTCGTGTGAAAAATTCACCTGCAGTGCAGGGACCAAGTGTGAGCTATATGAAGGGCATCCAAGATGTATTTCCGTCTCGCCTTCCTGTGACAAGTTACATTGCAAAGAAGGGACAGTTTGTGAAATCAGTAGTGGTTGGCCCACATGCGTTCCCCGTTCCAGCTTGTCCTCCTGTGAAAAAGTCAGCTGCAGTGCAGGGACCAAGTGTGAGCTATACGAAGGGCATCCAAGATGTATTTCCATCTCACCTTCCTGTGACAAGTTCCATTGCAAAGAAGGGACAGTTTGTGAAATCAGTAGTGGTTGGCCCACATGCGTTCCCCGTTCCAGCTTGTCCTCCTGTGAAAAAGTCAGCTGCAGTGCAGGGACCAAGTGTGAGCTATACGAAGGGCATCCAAGATGTATTTCCATCTCACCTTCCTGTGACAAGTTCCATTGCAAAGAAGGGACAATTTGTGAAATCAGTAGTGGTTGGCCTAAATGTGTTGCCCGTATGAGCCCACCTGCTTGTGAAAAAATCAGCTGTCATGCAGGGACTGTGTGTGAGATATATGAAGGGCATCCAAGGTGTATTTCCATCTCGCCTTCCTGTGACAAGTTCCATTGCAAAGAAGGGACTGTATGTGAAATCAGTAGTGGTTGGCCCAAATGCGTTCCCCATTCCAGTTCACAATTTTGTGGAAATATCAGCTGCAGTGCTGGGACTGTGTGTCAAATGGCTTATGGTTGGCCCAGATGTGTTACAATCCCACCCTCCTGTGACCAATTTAGCTGCAGTGCAGGGACTGTGTGTCAAATTGTTTCTGGTTGGCCCACATGTGTTTCCATCCCACCCTCCTGTGGAAATGTCAGCTGCAACGTCGGGACTGTATGTCAAGAGGTTTTTGGTGGGCCCCAGTGTGTTCCCAGCCCACTTTCCTGTGAAAATTCAGTTGCAGTGCAGGGACAGTGTGTCACATGATTTCTGGTTGGCCCCAATGTGTTCCGAACCCTCCTTCCTGTGACCAGTTCCGTTGCCAAGATGGGACAGTTTGTAAAATTGTGGATTACTGGCCCAGATGTGTTGCTGTCCCACCATCCTGCGACAGAGCACATTGTCAAAGAGGGACTGTTTGTGAGGTCATCAGTGGCTTGCCAACTTGTGTACCCATTCTGTCTTCCTGTAACAAAACTCACTGTGCCCAGGGAATGGTGTGCCAGATTGCACATGGCCGGCCAACATGTGTTCCAGCAGCAGCACCTTCTTGCGCTTCTGTACATTGTCAAGTGGGGACTGTGTGTCGGCTTGTTAATGGATTCCCCCAATGTGTGCACAACCCACCTTCCTGTGACAAATTCCGCTGCAGTGTGGGGACTGTCTGTCAGATTGTGAATGCCTGGCCCCAGTGCGTTCCTCTGCCGAGCTCCTGTCATAATACCCAGTGCCAAAGGGGAACTGTATGTCAACTTATAAATGGACGGCCCAAATGTGTGCCAGTAGCAGCACAAGCATGCCGTACAGTTCACTGCAAGAGAGGGACAACCTGTAAAGTTGTGAATGGTGTCCCCAAGTGCGTGTCTGTTTCGCCCGCCCAGTCAATCTGCTGGGCCTCTGGACAACCCCACTACCACACCTTTGACGGACGCAGCTACGATTTCCAAGGTACCTGCACTTACACCGTGGTGAAGACCTGCCAACCCACTTCGGCTCTACCTTTCTTCCATATCTACACCAAGAGCCAGAAGAACTCCCGGTTCTCTTTCGTCAGCCAGGTCACCATCTCTGTCTATGGCTCCAACATCACCATGGTCAAGTACGAATATGGCCTTGTCAGAGTAAGAGCCCATCTCTGTGTGGTTTTATTAAAACTGAGGAAGTGGCGCCAGGGGTTGGGAATCTATAGTTGTTGCTGGACTTCCACTCATTTCAGACTGTTGGCCATGCTGGCTGAGGCTGATGGGAGCTGAAGTCCAATAACAACTGGAGGGCTACAGTTTGCTTATTTATTTTATTTCTCTCATGCACCTGTCCTTCACTATAGCATTCCAGGGTAGGTTACACGAGAGAGAGAGAGAGAGAGAGAGAGAGAGAGAGAGAGAGAGATTGAGATTGGTTCAGCAGCCTCTGCAGGGCCAGCAGTTCCCTACACCTTTTTTCTTTTAATTGCTGCATTTGAAGGTGGTGGAGATTTTGTCTCCTATCTACCTTTGTCAGAATCCACTTACCTGAAACCATCCTTCTTTACTGAGCTATTCTCACAGTTTTTCAGACACTCCCTGATTTTCCAAATTTGCATTTGTCATCTCGGGGCGCTTCCCCACAAAAGTACTTGACTATTCCAAGTATAAGGATCCGTAGGGATCAGGAATAAATATGGCTCTGTTTATATTTTAATGCAAGCCTACCAAGTTCACATTTTCTGAAATGATACGCAAACTCAAACAGCTCACTTTCAAAATTTGCAATTCTCTGAATTTTGCATTGCAGTTCTGCAACCGAAAAAAGGGCCGAAAATGTGGTATTAGGGGACAGCATGCATAAAAACACCAATAGCGGTGAAACGCGTTGTTAGAAAAACCTGCTTGCAAAAATGTGCGTATTTGGAGAAATGCACACTGAAATGTTGGCAACTTTGTGAGAACATTATTTTTAAAAGAAACGAATTGCAAAGTGAAGCAGAAATGCAGCAAAGTGAACTTAAGCCTAGAAAAAAGAGAAACTGACAGATTCATGCAGACCTACTCCTTTCTCGGTGTTGTTGTTTTTAAGTAAATATGTTCTGACTGAGCCACAGAACCATAAGAAGATGCCTTATGAAAAGTCAGATTATTTTCCCACCTTGTCTCGTATTGCCTGTTTTGACTGGCAGCGAATCTCCAGCTACAAAGTCTTCTTGATCCTTTTTTGAACCTGGAGATATGCAAGGGACTTTCTTTTAAAATCAGAGAGCTTGTTTCACGTCACCTGGAAGTCACGTGATCACAAATGATTCTACTTTATTAGTCAGAATCACAACTAAAGTTGCTTCTTTAAATAGAAACTTTCTGAAAGAGAAGTTTGACCTCACTAGAAATGTTGGTGTTTTGCTTCATCACAGCCTTTGCAAACGTGGATTCCTCCAGATGTTGTTGGGACTCCAGCACCCATCATCATTTGCCATTGGCCACACTGGCTGGGGCAGATGGGAATTGGAGTCCCAAAAAGCTGGAGGGCATCGGGTTAGAGAATGCTGCTGTGTCACTTCAATTATTTTGCAGAGTATGTGTATATAATCTTGACTAAAAAAAAAATTCTTTTATCTGCCTTTGCCGCTTCCAGGTCAACCAAGTACGCTCCCGCCTGCCCATAAGTATGCATGATGGGAAGCTCTCCTTATACCACAGAGGAGGCCAACTGGTTGTGGAAACATCATTTGGTCTGAAAGTTTACTATGACTGGAACTATTACCTAGTGGTGAAGGTCACTCCAGCCTTTCGGAGCCATATCTGCGGCCTCTGTGGCAACTACAACGGGGACCCCAATGATGACTTTATGACATCTTTGGGAGGCTTTGCCACCGATCCTGTGGAGTTTGGCAGGAGCTGGAAGGTGGAAGATGGTGATAGCCAATGCAGTCATGGCTGCCACGGCAAATGCTGGCGCTGTTCTCCGGAGCTGGCGACCAGATACAGAGCGGAGACTTATTGCGGCCTGCTTACTAAGCACAGAGGTGGCCCGTTCCGACATTGCCATGCCTTGATTGACCCCAAGCCCTATTTGAACGACTGTGTGATTGATTTGTGTGCCTTTGAGGGCTACAAGCAGATATTATGCCGAGCACTGAAGACTTACGCTGATGCCTGCCAAAGAGAAGGGGCAGTGCTATCTGCCTGGAGAAAACATGCCGGCTGCCGTGAGTACTGCAGAGCATTCATGGAGACAGGGATTAAGCTACCTATGCAATTATGGGCACCTAGATGAGGATCCTATTGTAGTATTTATTATTTACGTGTGAAATTCATATCCTGCCCTTCCTCCCAAAGGAGTCTAGGGAAGCAAACGCACAAAAGATAAAGTCATTAAAACATCTAAAAAATGTAAGAAAGTTTCCAACACAGATGCAGACTGGGAACGATCTCTGCTTAAAAGGCTTGTGCAAAGAGAGAGGTCTTCACTAGGGACCAAAAGACAACAGAGGTGGTGCCTGTTTAATATTTAATAGGAGGGTAGGTGCTATGATGCTAAAGGACTAATTAGTATGTTGGACAGAATGGTCCTCCTGATAAGATAATGTCTGCAGGAAGCCCTCTCCTGCAGGGTGCTGTGATCAGTTGGATATATAAGGGATGAGATGATCTTCTAAGTAAGCTAGTCCTTGAACTTAGCCCAGTATTAATTGGCAGCCGGTGCAATTCTTTCAGCTGCGTCATTACATGGTGGTAATATCCTGCCCAAGTGAGCAATTGAACTGCCACAGTTTGCACTTGCTAAAGCTTCCAGACCAACCCCAAATTCAGCCCTGCATAGACCCATTGCAGTAATGCAACCTGTGGTTCCAGAAGGGAATGTGTTTCATAAGTGAAATACTGTGCACATATATGGGCAAATATTAAGTAAGTGTATTCAGGAATACACTATCATAAAATAAAATAAAAAGATTTGACCCTGCGATTTAGCTAAAAGGCTCTTCCACAGTTCAGTAGTCCTGAACCGCCTTGAGGAGGGAAATGGCTATTTTATTTTGATAGATAAGCTTACAGCAAGGATGGGGAACCGATGGCCCTCCAGATGTTCTTGAACTACAGTTCCCATGATCCCTAGCCATTGGCCTTGCCAGCTGATAGGAGGACCCTGATTTAGAACCTCAGTGTATTAGATGAAATGTTGCTATCAAGCAAAGATAGGGCTTTATGTAAGAACAGTGGCTGTGCTCACCTTTGCTTTCCTTTCTGCAGCCATGTCTTGCCCCGACTACAGCCAATACATGCCCTGTGGCTCAGCATGTCCTGCCACCTGCACCAACCCTGATGCTCCAAAGCAGTGTCACCTGCCCTGCGTGGAGACCTGCCAGTGCAAGGCTGGCTACGTGCTGGATAGTGGCAAGTGTATTCCCAAAAACCGGTGCGGCTGCGCCTACCATGGTCGTCTCTATGCGCCCAACGAGCAGTTCTGGGGTGACCAGCAGTGCCATCAGCGTTGCTTGTGCAGGGCGCAAGATAAAAAAGTGATCTGCCATGAGTCCCGTTGCAGGGAGATGGAAGGGTGCCATGTGGTCAATGGCATGAGAAAATGCTACCCCACCTACTATGGGACCTGCACTGCTGTGGGACAGTTGCATTACGTCACCTTTGATGGGTTGCGCTATGACTTCTACGGGACCTGTGTTTATCGCCTGGTTGAAATCTGCCACAAGAGAGCAAACCTGACCCAGTTTCAAGTCCTGGTTCGGCATGAAAGGAAGGGACACAAGGATTATCCTGCCACCAAAGCCATTGAGGTCAAAGTCTATGGTTTTACAATCACAGTCAGCCATAGTAAAGTCATGGTGAGTGCACTTCTTCTGCCCTTCTGCTAGAACTCATGCAATTTCTTGGATTTATCAATCACTTCCTATTTCTGAGGTTGATTATTCAGTATGAAAGGAGCAAGCAACCCAAACAGGATAGTTTATTCACAATTATGTATCGATATGGAGCTCTTAAAGTTCTTCTGTCTCCATAATATCTTCTCCTAGGGCTAGGCACAACTTGCCATTTTCATTTATGTATTTGCTTCTTTGTTTCCTTTCTTTTATATCCACACTTTCTTCCGTAATGGAATCCAAGGTAGCATACATGAACAAAGCTATCAATGCTTACTAGTCATCATGACTATGTTCTACCTCCACTGTTAGAGACAGAATGCCTCTGAATACCAGTTGCTTGGAATTGCAAGGGGGGAGAGTAGCCCTGTTGCACTTGTGTCCTGTCTGTAGGCTTCCCAGGGGCATCTGGGAACTAGAATAATGAACCAGATGGACCATTGTCCTCATCCAACAGGGCTGTTCTTGTGTTCTTTTGTTCCCAAATATCTTGACTTGCAAGTTGAATACCTATAGGCGGTCCAACTATGTGTTCATTTATTTGCTGTGGTGGTTAGGACTGATGAGTGTTACAGCCCAAAACATCTGGAGGACATCCAGTTGGGGAAAGCTTATCTAGCACATTACTGTCTACTTGGTCTGGCAGTGGCTCTGAGACAGTGATTGGCAGGCAGAGTCTTTCCCATCACCTACTGCTACCTGGTCCATTTGAGCGAAGGCAAGACCTTTTCCCTGAAAAGCATGTGTTGTCCCACATCTGCTTTATATAACATCTCTAAATTATTTTCTCTCTTTCTCTCTCCCTGCTCCACCTACCTTTTCCAGTTGAATGGATTGTTGGTCCACCTGCCCTACAACATTGAATACAACAAAGTTGCCCTCTACCGCCACGGCTGGGATATTGTGATCACGACCGATTTTGGTTTAACTGTCGCATTTGATGGGACTAACAATATCCGTCTCACGGTGCCAGGAGCCTACAGGGGTGACGTGTGTGGCTTGTGTGGCAATTTCAATGGGCGGGCAGATGATGACATGACTCTGCAACACAGCCAAGTTCTGACAACTAACCCAGGGGACTTTGGCCGAAGCTGGAAAGTTCGGGACATCCCAGGGTGCATTGAGAAGGAGAAGGAGGCCTGTCCAGACCTTGTGAACATTGAACACACACAGAAGACAAGCAAGGAGTGTGGTCTCCTGCTGGACATGCGCGGCCCTTTCAGGGAGTGCCACAGCAAGGTGCCACCTCAATCATATTTCAAAGACTGTGTCTTTGACTTTTGCTCCAACAAGACCAATAAAAATGCCGTCTGTCACATCATCTCCTCCTATGCCGCAGCTTGCCAAGCATATGGCACCAGGGTCTATGAGTGGAGATCTGCCAGTTTCTGTAGTAAGTTCATGGGCAATAACCTTGCAGAAAGTGAACCCCCAGTTCCTGCCAAGGAATGATGAGTACATAAACTCCCAGGCCAATTTTCAAAATTATTTTATTTGATGGAGAAAGTGGATAGAAAGGTTTTCCCTTTCTCAGTACTTAGAGCTTGAGGTCGTCCACACTGATTGGCAGGTGATTCAGGACAAATAATTGTTCACAATATGTGGAACTTGTTGCTACAGATTGTGGTGGTTGCCACTTGCATGCACACAATAGGGATTTGACAACTATCCGTGGAATGAAAAGTGGTATATAAATACATTGTGATATGTTATGTTCATCATCAATGATAGCTATAGTCATGATAGCTATAGGCAGCCTCCAGGTTTCAGAGGTCATATAAATCTGGGTAGCAGTTGCTTGAGAGCCTGATGGGAAAACCAGTTTCTTCATCCTCTGCTTGTGGACTTCTCAGAAGAATCTGGTTGGGCTTTGTGGAAAATAGGATGTTGAATTGGATGGACTTTTTGATCTGATCCAGCTTATGCACTTATTCCTAAAGTCAGGATCAGGAGGTCTCCTCTCCCTGCTAGAAACAAACTTAAGATTTGGAAATGTCTGAAATTAGTATCTCTTCCTACACTTACATTTTAGGTTGGGGGGATTAGGAGAAGACGCCAGACTGAGTGGGGTTCAACCAGGTCAATAATGTCTTCCTGTCTCTCTCCAGCTCCTAAATGCAGCGCAAACAGCCGCTATAAAGTCTGCACCAGCAATTGCCCAGTGACGTGTCTCAGCCTCTTTAACCCAGTAGCGTGCACTACTAGATGCCACGAGGGATGCGAATGCAATGAAGGTTATGTTCTGAGTGGTGACCAGTGTGTTCCCATCTCCCAGTGTGGCTGTGTCCACCAAAGCTTCTATTACAAGGCGGGTGACTCTTTCTATCTCAACGGATTCTGCAAGGAGCGATGTGTATGCCAAGTAGGTGGCATCATGGACTGCCACCGTTCCTCCTGTGGTCCTAACGAGGAATGTCGTGTGGTGGAAGGTGTCCAGAAGTGCCACTCACTTGCCCCCAAGAGGAGTGGCTCTTGTCATGTGGCTGGTGACCCACACTATCTCACCTTTGATGGCACCACATTTGACCTCCAGAGCAATTGCACCTACACCCTGGCTAGGAGCTGCACGCAGAAGACCTCCCTTCAGCCCTTCTCTGTCAACGTGGAGAATGAGAGGCGGTCCAGGGGCAAGGTCTCTGTGACAAAGGTCGTGTCAGTCACAGCTTATCAAAACACCATCTCCATCTTGCGGGAAAAGAGAGGCATTGTCCTGGTAAGCCTTTGTGAAACGGAGAGCAATGGAACATGGTTGCTTGCTCAAAAGACATGAGGGGTTGAATAAATAGGCTGAATGGTTGCAGCAATGAGGTTGGGTAATGATATAGCTATGGGAAATATTGGCTCAGGGGGTGGACTGTAGCTCAGTGCAGAGCATCTGCCATATATGAAAAAGGTTCCAGGTTCAATCCCCAACACCTAGGGCTGGCAGAAACCCCTGAGAAACCCTGGAAGGTTCCTACCAGTCAGTGTAGACAATACTGAGCTAGATGAACCAATGTTCTGATTCAATATAAGACAGCTTTCTATGTTCAAGATGTGCACAGTAGAACTGATGTGTGGCTGGTGGGCAACAATCAATATACAATAGTCATATTAGCAAAGCTAGATCTAGGTTTGGGGGAGGCCTTGGGAAAGTCTCTACAGGTGAGCCCCCTACTTCATTAGTGAGTCCCTGTGGCCAAAGCTGGCAGCAGCAGCAGCACTACAATTAGTGTTTGGCAGGGCCATATTACCCATAGGTGCTAGGGGTGCGGGGCACCCGGGCGCTGGGCTCTCAGGGGCACCAACCGAGAGTCTGGGGAAGAGCCCGCCCGCCAGTCAGAGTGCTGCGGTGGGCTCTTCTGCTGCGGGCGACCAAGCCAGCAAGACACTGGGTGGCCGGACGGCTCTGCCCTCATGCGCGTCTGGGACTGGGCAACCGGGGGGGGTGGATCTTTGCACCCCGGCGCCACATATGCTTAAGACAGCCCTGGTGTTTGGGCAGCTTGGCAACACCTTTTTTAATTTTCTGCTTTGACCACAGAGTAAGTCCTTGACATTACAGGAAATCTAAAATGGTGGCTCCAAGCCATCCAGCACAAGGGGTCCAGGGCAGGTGTCAGTACAGTGATGGGCCCTGCTTGCAATCTGGAGAGCCTAGTGCTCAGGGATGCTATGTGCTAATGCTAGGTTTGCACGTATAAGGAACGTATGTAGAAAACAGACCAATAAACAAGGGCAAAAGGTGAAACTACATCAGATGTTGGTTTGGACACATCAGAGGAGTGGCCATTGTCTTAAACTGTCTGTCCGCCTGATTCTCACTAACTTTCCACTGCCACAGGTCAATGGTGCGATCACCTACTTACCTTTCCGGTTGGTAAGTGATGGTATGTGGGCGTACTACCATGGTGACAACATTGTGATTCGGACAGACTTTGGCTTATTCGTCTCTTTTGACCAGCTCTACCATCTTGTTGTCAGAGTACCTGAATCCTATCAGGGCCAGACCTGTGGCCTATGTGGCAATTATAATGGCAGATCCAATGATGACCTCTTCCTGCCCACTGGCCACCCAGCCTCAAGCGTCCAAGTCTTTGCAGCTGCTTGGAGAGTGGACGTCCCCACGGCTGTCTGTGCAGATGATTGTGCTGCTTCAGTATGTGGTGCATGCAGAGAGAGCCGGAAGGCCAGCTATGTACACAGCAGTCAATGTGGCATACTTCAAGCCCCATATGGGCCTTTCAGTGCCTGCTTTTCCACCATCAACCCTGCAGACTTCTACAACAATTGCGTGCATGACCTCTGCAAAGCAAGAGGGAACACTGTTATCCTCTGCCGGGCTATCCATGCCTACGTCACTGCCTGTCAAGCTGCAGGCGTCAAGATCAAGCCTTGGAGGACAGCAGCATTCTGCCGTAAGTCCTCCTATAGAACTAGCTTTCTAAGGCCACAGGCACCTAACCCCACTTTCACAACCCCTGCCAGCATCCTTCTTGATCTGTGCACACTAGTATCTATTAACAATCTCAACTATACATCCAAGAACAGGTATTACCAACTTGTCTGCTCATAGTCCGGGCTTGGTGATGGAAGCGGCAGCATGTAACATCCCAATTCGTACTTTGCAAAACAATGGTAATTTTCCAAATGCAGTGCTGCAACCCAGTGTACAAAAGTGCATATACTAAAGTGTGCATAAAAGTTCATATATTAGGGGGAAATAATTCACAAAGATGCTTTATATCAGGGAAAATCACTTTGCAAAAATGTGCATGTTAGGCAAAACTGCATACAAAATTGTGCATATTGGCAGGGGAGAAATCACATTGAAATGTTGTTGAGTTTTCCCAATGACTTTAAAAAAAGCAAACTGACATGGAAAGGTGGAGACCTGAACTTAAGATGGGAAAAACAAGGAACTGGGAATAAACAAAACTGTGAGATTTACCAATTCCTATTCTCCATCTGGCCCCCATATGTTGTCAGGTGTGAGGCAGCTGAGTCCAGTTCAAATGTGTACCCTTGATTGGCCAAGTTTGGCATGTGGGATGGTGATTTCTTATCCATGGTGCAGACAATACTGAGCTAAATGGACAAAATGGTCTGAACTGACTCAGTATCCTAGCTCCCTATGTTCCTAATCCACGCTCATCTTTCCCTTTCATATAGTAACTTAAATTTTCCCCAATCCTTCTTGCAGCTATGAAGTGCCCAGTCAACAGTCACTACGATATCTGTGTCAGAGCTTGCCCCAGAGGTTGCAGAGAAGCAGTCAGCATCACCAAGTGCTCTAGCAACTGTGCCGAAGGCTGCCAGTGCAAAAAGGGTTACTTTATGGCTGGGTATCATTGTGTGCCTATTAGCCAATGCCGGTGCTTTCACCAGGGCACATGGTTTAAGGCAAGTGACAAGCACTTTCTGAAAGAACAAGAACATGTTATCCCAATACACAAGCTGACTAAACTGGAATGCTTGAATTTAAAGGCATTTGGTTCAGTTGGGCTGTGGTTTCTCTACAAAGATCAGGAAGAGATGCTAGTGTGTGTGTGTGTGTGTGTGTGTTGTGTGCGTGTGTGTGTGTGTGTGAGAGAGAGAGAGAGAGAGAAGGGCAAGGAGAAGAACTTTAACATGCACACTTACAAACAGAGGCATAACCACAGCTGCACACTCACAGATTGTTCTTGTTAAGAATTCTTCTGCACCAAGGGGAAATAACACCTGAAGAAGTGTTTTGCTCCAACAGGAAGCAGAAGGCTAGCTGGGATGTTTATGGAGCAACGGGAAGAAATAATGTTGTAGAGGCAGAAATGGGAGTGGTGTAGGTTCCAGAATCACATTTGTGGGTGTCACACGCACCTGAAGTTTGTTAGGCAGATCTTTCAGTGTGGTGGCATTCATGTTTTGGAATATGCTCCCACTGGAAATTAGGAGGCACCAACTATTTTTTTCTATTTTTACTCAATGATATGATGAAAGTATTTTTTTTTTTCTGTGTCAAACTCACACACACAAATTTGCAGTTGGGTCAGCAGAACTGTGATGATAACATATGGAAGATACCACATAAACTCACCATACGTTATATGATTTCAAACATGGCAAAATGCAAGAGTCACCTGCTTTCAACACTGTGTTTTTATTGGCAGGTTGGAGTGAAGGTGATCACAGCCAACTGCAGGGAGGAGTGTACCTGCCATCGTCAAGGTCGGGTCGTGTGCACACCTCTACCATGTGCAGCTGGACAAACCTGTGTCCTGAGTAATGCCAAGTGGACTTGTATCCGGCAAGAGGGCCATTGCACCATTTCCCAGGGGCACATCTTCACAACTTATGACGGGGTCTCCGGAAAGGTTCCCCCTGTAGGGTCCTATGAGATCTCCACGCTCATCAACGCCAAGTCTACATCTTGGTTCCGGGTGGTGATTCAGCTGCAGAAATGTCCTGCATGCCCCACACCCCTTGTGGTCACTGTCACAATCTATTTCCACAAGCTTATTGTGCTGCTGAAGCAGGACAGCTCAGTCACGGTAAGAAGTAAAGAATGGAAGCTGACAGAACTCATATTCTATCAGCCATTATACCTTTCAGTATCCACTTCTTATTTCCACATAAGCTTTCTTCCCAATCAACACACCACTATCTCACCACCCACTCTTCCCACTAACTTGTCATCCTTTTTATCTATCTGCCCTGGAATGCTGTAACTAATGAGCATTAAATTAGCGTATACAGTTGCAATAGACACTCTATTAATTCTCTTTGGCCAGCCTTCCATAGGATTCATGCCAGAAGTGGGCAGGGCCAAAGCCAATAGCAGGAAAAGCAATAACTGACAATAGGTGGAGCCACTCTACACTTTCACACATGCATGCACCATACCCACCCACATAAATACACGCATCACACATTCAGCACTCACCACACAGTCAGTTGGCAATAGAGATGCAGGTTGGATGAGACTAGTCTGATATAGGAAAGCTTTATATGAAACCTCTGGAGAGGTGAATGCATTGAAAAATGTAGAGCATAGAATTGCAGGGGCACAGAGATCAGAGAAAGAAAAAAGATGTTAAGAATTGCCACTGAATCAGCAAATTTAAGGGTAGTTTTGCTCAAACAAAATGCCCAGGGATATAGAAGACTATCAGTAGTTTTCTTAGGGGCTAGTGACATAATTCAGTGTGTGTGTGTCAGAGAAAGAGTGAGTGAGCGAATAGGTACACTTCTGAGTCATAGGCAATGGCGTAGTTGTAACTCAAGTTGAATTCGAAGGTCCTCTCAAGAGAAACCTCTATACAAATTCAAAGGAAAATGAAAGGAATTTTGATAAGAGTTTCAAAATATATGGGTATGTGTGTATTCACATACATTTCTGGAAAGGTTCCCTAGCAAATGTGCTATATGTATGATACAGAAAATGGAGGGAGGGGTGGTAGTCTAAGGCCATGAGCTTTAGAAGTTTCGTGACAAAAGCTTGAAATTGATGAGGCTTGCGGGAGCCAATGCAGAGGCTTAAGAGGTAGGTCTTGATCATATCATGGGGAAGAACAGTGAGTTTCGCAGAAGCTATATCTCTCCAGCAACCACACATCTTCTAAAGTTATATTGTTGTTCTCCTTCTTTTGTCTTTATCATCTGTAGTAGTTCTAAATGACCAGCTGGTTTACATGTTATAGGTTAATGGGCACCCAGTGCATCTTCCAGTCCAGCCCTCAAAGGAAGTATCGATAAGCCTGGCTCAGGACTTGGTGACAGTGGCACACAGATCAGGTGTGCGGGTTCTCTATAGCACCAGAGGAGACCTGACAGTGGCCATCAGTGGTGAATTGGCCAACAAAGTATTCGGAGCCTGTGGAAACTTCAATGGGAATGGTGCAGATGACTTGCGGTTACCCAACGGTAGAGTAGCGCACACCATTACAGAGGTCATTAGCCACTGGCGAGTAACGACAGCTATGCAAAATGGTATGTAAGGACAGAAACTTAATCAATTTTTCCCCAATGCTTGCATGTCTTATTTCACTAATCTATTTAATGATCCCCACTGCTTAAGTCAATGGGCAAGGGTGCAATCTCCCCCCCCCCAAAAAAAGGAACTGGGACATAAATGATGGCAACTGGATACTTGGTTGTTTAAGAAAGTAGGTTTCTACTGATGCTATTTATGCTGCTCTGTTGAGCATCTCAAGGTTGCACCCCATGACCCAAGCATGGAGGAAGAAGGATAAGAACGAACAGTTTATTGGGGCCTATTGATCATGGAAGACTGGGTCTCAACTGTAAACACATTGCCATTGAGGGGTGTGTGTCAAATTGTAGCTCATGCTTGAGGGTGTTAAGGTAAACTTATTTCCCTTTCTCTATCTATGATTTCTGCTCTTCTTTCCTCCTCTTTTCTTTCTTCCATTATTTCATCTTTGCTTCCTTTTAACTCTTTTCCTGCTTTCTTCTCTTCACATCCTTCCTTTCTTCCCCCTCTCCACAATATGTTTTTCCCTAGAAGCAAGACTCAGTCTAAACGAAGACTTCCATGGCACTGCTTGAAAGCCAGCAGACTTTTCCATTCCTGGTGCTCTCCAAGTGGTCTGGACTACAGCCTGACCATTGGTCATCCTGGCTGGGGCTGCCTAGAGTTGTTGTCCAAAGAATCTGGAGGGCACCAGATTGGGGAAGAATGATATAAAAGTGCTTCTTCACCATCGTAGCTCTGTGGTAGAAAGAATGTTTTGTATGCAGGAATGGGCCAAGGGGAAACCTACTCTGACCCATGCCTAGAAATAGGGTTACCATACGTCCAGAATTTCCCAGAAATATCCAGAATACTGCATTCGTCAGCAGTGTCCAGGCAGAAATCAACTAAATGTTTGGAAAATTCCAGACGTATGGCAGCCCATGTTGGCAGTGCTGATTTCCCCGATTTCCCCTTAAAATAGCTCAAAAACAGCAATTTTATGACACGAGTAGAAGTGTGGGCAAGCCTTGACAGATTTATTCATCCTTAGCAATGGCTCTTTAGTGTCTCCTGTTAAGAATAATGTCTATACACAGTTTGGAATTGCCCACCATGATGCATGTCCAAGTATGGGTATACTCCCGCAAGGGATTTGGAATACTGTTGTTTGATATACAAGGCGCTGAATGCTCTGTTATTCCCTTATATTTTTAGCTCGTTTTAAAATCCACTCCTACTGAAACCTAGAATCGAGATCACTTTTGGATGCCAACCCCTCTGAGGCAATATCTGGACTGGTATCGTGACAGAAACAGCTTCTCCCTGGCTGAATCCCAGGGATAGGACAGGCAGCTGCTCTCCCAAGCACAATGGAACATCTCTTGCTCTTAAATAAATGTACTTCCCTGGCAGCAAAGCAGATAGGGTTCACCAGCTCAGTAATGCTGAGATTCAGCCCCACAGAGATTGTACATAAGTTCGGTCACTAGCTAGCCTCTGCTTCCTTGAATTTGCATTGTTTGATGTTTTCCGTTTGTTTCACTAGCTTATTCACATTTGACTCAAAGTGTCACATAGCATACATAGAGGGGTCCCTCTGCCAAACAGTACAACACATTCCAATCTGATGTGTGATAGCTGCTCCCCAGGTACACAGCAAAGTCTTTCTTGGTTCAAGGCTACAGCTGTCTTTGGGGCATGGCAACGGGCATTTCATGTCTTGACCCAGACCGAGTTGAATCTAACAGACAAATCAATAAAAAGCTTTTGGTAAAGGTCTTGCATTTGTGTGAGTCCATCTTGACAGCTTTTTGGCAAAATAATGATTTTACACAGCTGCCTGGGCTACAGTGCTGGTCAAAGAAGTACTGAGAGTACCACCAGGCCTGGATGGTTGTAGCTGGCATTTGAGTCAGTGCTATTACTTCCACAAGGACGTAGTCCATCAGCAACTGCCCAGGTTTTCCTGGTTTGGAGTGTATGTGCAACAAGTAGGATTGCTAGACAAGAACTGGTAGTCATGTTTGGAAAAGTATTTAGTGAGAGGGAGTAAATAACCCCAATTCATTGTTTCTGTAAGCTGTTTTGGAAATAGAGAAGCAATAGAAAAAATGTGTTAAATAAGCAAATAAATCGCCTCATAAGAAGACTCCCACAGGACTGGGGGTGAAGAAAGAGGCAAAAATTGACCTTATGATCATATTTTGGTGATGCTGTTCCTCATGGCCAGTATGTAAAACATGACAACCATTCAAATGGAGGGTGGTTGCTGATACTGCCTCCAACTCTTTCATTTTTCTCCTTCCTCCAATCTTGATCAACACTTAAAGCCTCAGGCTTTGTGCCAGCGCTGCCCTTCCACAATTTGCCCATGTCACCTAGATGTAGCTCAGACCTGTAGGCTGTAGACCAGCCTTTGTCAGCCTGGTGCCCTCTAAATGTTTTGTAGTACAACTCCCATCACGAAGTGACCACTCTAGATCCTGAGTGAGACCCTGTCAGCATATAAAACCTCTGCTCAGAGATCTTTAGTGGTTGCCAATTTGTTACTGGGCCAATTTGTTACTTAATGGCTTGAGACTAGTTTATTTGCAAGATCACCTTACCCAATATATGCCCATTTGACCACTGGAACTTGCACTGTTACAGATGCTGCATATTACTCGTCCCACACTTATCCGAAATTGACCTTTTAGTGTGGCAAGGACTACACTTATTCTCTGCCTATTGAAAACAGGCAAGCCCCTTCACAAGCCTATCCAGACAAAAATATGTTGACATGTTTTAATCTTTTTTACTTTATATTTTAATTATCTTTAACTGTTTTCGTTGTTTTTAAATGGTTTTATTGATAATTTCAATATTTCTTGTAAATTGCTTAGAGGTTCTACTACAATCAAGCAGTGTATAAAAACTTTGTTAAATAAAAATAAATTTTCTTAGGGTTTTATGTTACTTTGGGTTTTGTGCTGCATTACACTCTTCCAAGCAACATGTTCATACAAACTGAAATGAGCGGGACATTATCTCTTCTGTGCCCACAACACGCCCGTTCATGTGGCTCCACAGCAAACGAAACTAGGTGGACTAAGGTACAGGAGAAAACGGAGGCCCTCTGGTCACAGTATCACATTTTTATTGTCAGCTGTGGCAGGGGGGAAACTGGGGACAAGATAAGAAAGGAATATTGCTAATGGTGGTGAGTTCAGTCAGAATAAAAAGACAAAGCTTCCTCAGAGCTCCAGGCAGCAGAGCCTAGGGACTGTTTCGTGACAGACAGCTTGCATCTGATACACAAAATGGAGGTTATTGCTCTCCAACTTCTCAGAGGCAAATGCGACACATGTTTTGAATAAGCAGATTCCATACAACTAACACCGCTAGGCGACATATGCAAGAAGTTCTAAGGGTGCAATATATCATCACAAGCACAAAGTAATATTTGAGGTTCTTCCTTTACATAGCTTTTTGTTGTTTTTATTTACCTCAGAAATTTTACCTCAGAGTGGGGATGGCCCTACAATTAGGCGGAAGCTAACCAGGGAGGGCAGCAGCAACAGCCACCTTTCCTGAATCCCCAATAATTCCCCTCAGTATCCACATGGTATCTCATAATCTGGCCTGCTGCCTCAGGGGCAGTGAGGAATATTATCCTGCCACCAATGCTGAGGTTAAGATTCAACTGCCAGTCTGGAACATGAAATGGGTAAGTGGGGTGGGGGGGTGCCATCTTGTCCTTTGTATCAGAAAGCAAACTACCTTCAACCATTGCAGGTGCATTTCAGCTAATACGTGCAGTGCGTGAACTGAATTATTCAAGGCACAATCTACTGCCCTGTTCTGGAAAACTCATCTCATTCCTCAGTTAGTTTAACTGCTAGTCAACCTGAGGAGACTGTCATGGGTGGTGTATTGAAGGGCCTGTTCAACAGCAATGTCCTGACTGAAACATTCTCCTCAGACAGGCTGGCCTGGTTCCATTTTCCAAACACTTTTAATTTATTCTTGCCTGTGCCGTAAAACTCTTTGTATTGGTTTCGGGGACCAGCTGCTTCAATCTATTCACATGTTTGCCGTTTGATTTTATTGTACAGTTGACTGTGTTTATTGTAAGGCCCCCTGATAATGCAATGTTTAAATAAAAACATAAATTGAAGCACCTCTTTAATCTAGCCTTTGACGCAAGAGATGTGTGCTTTCAGGACTCACCATATTCCTGTGATGGTAATCAGTTTTAACTGTTTTTAATTCTGAATTTTAAATTGTTGTAGTCCACCCTGGGGCCTGCTTGCAAACAGTGGGTAATACATTAATTAATTAATTGCGACCTGAGGAGTATTTTTTAACTTTCAGTGAGGGGATCAAAATACAGAAAGCTATGCCCAGTGGCGTAGCGTGGGTTGTCAGCACCCGGGGCAAGGCAAGTAATTTGTGCCCCCTAACCCGTGGATTTGCGCCCCTAACCCCCAGATGTTGCGCCCGGTGCGGCCGGCCCCCCCTGCACCCCCCACGCTACGCCACTGGCTATGCCTAGCCTTCTTTCAAAACTTTCCCAGGAACAGTGCTGAGGGAAACCTCCCCCCATGTACCCGGCCAAGTCATTGTTACATATTTAGACTCAAGAGAGATTAAGACAAAATTAAGTCAGATGTCTTTATTAGGCATAATCTGTTCCCTCTCACATACCTTTAATTAAAAGATCTGAAGAAATAGATTTACTGAACAAAGTCATTCTAATGAGATTTTGCCAGGGAATACCCAAATTATAGGATTAAATTCATCATTTCACCAGTCACCCAAACACCAGTTTCCCCTTACTACAATTCAGTAGCTTCAGTCTGGAACTTTCAGTTTACCAAGTGAATGTTCTCTCACGCCACACTGAGAAGGGAAAAGAGAAAGTGAGAGAAAGTAGCAGTTAGAACATAAAATGGACTGAACCGTGGTGCAGTTAGGCAAAATAAAGACTCAATGGTCTTATGGAATATCTCTTTTTTAGGTCCTTCGAAATGTCACCTTTTCTGTTTGGGATCCGTCCAGTCCACCATACTGAGTGGAGCTATAGACTTCCACCCTCAAGTCCCACCTGGTGGCATTGCTAGACCAAACAAGCCTCTACTTCAGTAAATTCAGTGAAGCTCCTAATGTAATAATTGCTGAGTTTGCTCCCATCTAAGGCAGCAGGGGAAGCCCTGTGTTCCCTTGGTGTTCTTTCTTTCTTACTTACTTACTTACTTTCTGGCCAGGATTCTGAGCACTGCCATGTGCCTGGATCTACCTACTTTTTAATTTCCAGAGCGCACATGAGTATAGTGTTTCTCTGCGGCATCATGAGAACATATGGAGTTGCCTTTTTCCGAGTCAGACCATTGGTCCATCTAGCTCAATTGTATGCACCATGAGTGACAGCAGGGGTTCAGATAGGAGTTTCCCCAGTCCTGCCTGAAGGCACCAGGAATTGAACATGAAACCTTCTGCATGCAAAGTAGATGCTCTACCACTGAGCTACTTCCCTTCTCCAAATCAAAAGGGCGGCTAGCCCCAACTGCTCCTGTCAGAGACGTATGCTAGAGGAACTTGGCCCAAGCCCACCACAAGCCTTGTTGCCTGAAACCTTGTTTTGCACATTGATGAATAATTGCAACATGTCACACAGTAAAATAATTTGCAAGATGCATATTGGGCGACACACACAAAAGGAGTTGATTCAAGTGCTCGAGAAATCTAACCATGGCACAATTTGATAAGATACTAATTAAGAAGTCATATCACAGTGGTTCTTCACGGTGGTTTATTTTCCCTTTTCTAAGTCATTTTATGGTTATTTAAGGAGAATTTTTGGACACCCTTCAAAGTCAACCAATTTAATTTTTTCTGCTGTTTATGAATGTATGCTGTTTATGAATGTTTTATTTTAACTTTGTCATTGTATATCATTTTCTTCTTGTTAATTGCCTTGTGGGGCTTGTTAGGGGTGAATGTTGGTGGGTGGGTGTGTATCTAAGTTTGCTGACAGAAAAGCACAGAACATTTATGAAAGAAGCCCATATGGCTTGCCTCACCTGGTGCGCTCTTCATTTCATACAGGTTTTCCCATTCATGTCAATACTACCCACCAATACCCATGAGAACAGAGAAGAGTTGCTTCCACTGAAATGAATGGGTAAACCATTCCAGTTGGGAACTCCACATATATATTTGAATCCCATCACTTGCAAGGGACTGTAGAATTCCAGGGCATTTCTGAAGATCCAATTGGCTGGATCTCATCCAGTTTTAATAAAATAGTCTGTCAGACCAGATTCCAATTTTTCATCACTCTAATTTTGTTAGTTTTGTGGTTTAGATAGAATCCAACACATTCTTTACTCCACTAGAGGGCCTGCTACTGCCTTCCCCACCAGTGGAGCCAAGTAGAAAGCTGCCAAATTCTTGGTGGTGGCAGCAAAAAATCTGGATTGCTGTGTTACAGCCAAACTTTTGAATTGGATCATCTTGGTGGTGAAATGTGGGGAGGGGAAGAGAGAGAGAAAGGGAGATTTGGAACCTCTTATGGGGCACCATATCACCAACATGCTTTTGCAATTGTCAGTGTAGCTCTTTTTGATGGCCTCCATTCAGTCATCCACAAGGAGGAGCATTTAAAAGCTAACTTACCAGGGGGTGAAATCTCTAGCTGTCCAAGATGTCAACAACCCAGGAACATCAATTACTTTCACTTCATTTGGGCCAATTAGGTCATCCGTCTGATCATTGTTGAAGTTTCCACACGCCCCACACACTTGTCCTTTCAAATCTGGACTAGCAGTCACCTGCACCCCTCCAGCTAGGTTCAGGTTTATTTCAACTTGAGGCGAACTCAGGGTGATGACTTCACCAGACAGATTAAGTATTATTGACTCTGTGATTTTGGATGGGATCTGAACTGGCAGCCCATTCACCTGAAACACACAAAACAGTTAAACAGGACAGAGAAAAGAGAAGCATACAATGAAACAGGGTTCTCTTCCAAGTGTTTGGCATCAAACTAGAGCTATAAGGTTTAACTGGTTTAATCTGGAAGATTGGGGATGGGGTACATGTGGCCAACCATAGGTTGTGGGACTACAACTCCCATCATCTTTTATCATTGGCCATGGTTTTGGGATGATGGGAGCTGGAGTCCATTAACATATGAAGGGTCATAAGTTCCTCATTCCTGCAGAGTATACTGATTTGTTGATGACTGAGAGCAACCTTGGGGGCTAGACCCTGCACCACCACATGGAGTGGTTAGGCGAATGCCGCTGGTCTCCATGAATACCATGATTTTTGTAGTGGCAGCCATGTTTTGTTTTTGTTTCTTACCCACATTGTGATGGAAATTCCATTTCAGATCAAGGGAATGCCCAGATGGAAAGCCAGACAAGGAGGGCCCTGGGACAGCATCTTTCATTTTCCAAGGGCACCTAGAACAGCTCTGTTAAGGGCCCCATGTTTGATTACATTTATATCCTACCATTTCTCCAAGAACCGTATGGTGTTGTACATGATTCTCCACCCCCAGGCCCCTCATTTTATCCTCATAAACCCTGTGCGGTAGGTTAGCTACCCCACCCTGTATTTTTGGAAGCCTTGTAAGAAGCTACTGCAGAAGAGTGAATGTGACTGACATCATGAGATGAACTGGTGCCTGAATGGTGATACCAAAGGGGCAATGATTCTTTGGGGAAGCTGAGGCCTAGGCATTTGATCAGACTTATTTTATCCTTGGATAATTGTAGCTGACATAGTAGTAGTGGCTAAAATAGGCTTGCCATATTTCAAAAAGTAAAATTTCGTTTTTAGGAAACCACCATAGTTGTTGAACTTTGGTTTTGTTATTGTTTTTTTTAAGGAAGCTTCCTCTTTCTGGCTAGGCCCTGGGTGGCATATTTCAGTTCTGCAAAGCTGGGCTGTTATGGACTCCTTCACAAAGGGAGAGATTTTAGATTTATATTTGCAGAGTTGGAAGGGACCCTTAGGATCATCTCGTCCAACCCCCTGCAATGCAGGAATCTTTCACCCAACACATGGGACTCAAACCCACAACCCTGAGATTAAGAGTCTCATGCTGAGCTAGCCTCAGAGAGAGAGAATGCTTAATGCACACACAAAAACAAAACCCTCCCTGCTCAGAATTCCTTTCCTGACAGATGTGGAGCATTTCAATTCAAGAGATCCGGGGGGGGGGGGCAGAAAACGAAACAAAAGCCGGGTTGCCATATGTCCGGGAAATTCCTGACATCTCTTAAAATTCAAAAAAATTCCCCCTGGACACCATTTTAGGTGTCCGATTTGCTGGCATGACCATAATTTTCCAGACGTATGGCAAGCCTAGGCTAAAACATCCAGGACCAAGGTGAAACTGTTCAAACATCCTTGTCGTTTTTGCTACTGCTAGGAGGAGTAATGTTGAAACATTGATACTATGAAAATGTTGGTGAGGGGTTTTATTTGCCATTACATTTACCTTACGTTGCTTCTTTATTATGGCTGTTAATATGAAATTATTATCGCAATTGTTGATTTTATGATGTTGTGTTCTCATAAGCCAGTATGAGCATAATTGTGTGTGTGAGAGAGAGGGGGGGGGAAGCACCATACAACTAAAGTGGTTGTGGTGATGATGTTTGTAATACAGTGACTGACCCAAAGTCATGGCAAAGTAGGGGATAATAAAATATATATTGTATAAATAAATATTTTAATACGTAAGTAAAACTTCTCCCTTTCTTGTTCAGCTTTCTACTTACCCAGGCCTCCTTCTGTCTATTCACAGTAATAAATAGACCCTTGTAGAAGAAATAGAGCAAGTTGGCAGTGACTACTCCATTGGGTGGACATGACGAAACTTCCACAATCACACGGAACCAATAATCAGAGTTGAAGTCACAAAGGGACGTCAGTTGAAAGGTGCCAGGAGCAGGGACTTTCCCAGAAAGGCCATCAAAGGTGGATAGCTGAGCTCCAGGAATCAGGGAGCAGCGGGACTCTGTTGGGAAGATAAGTTTGAAAATATACAACCTGAAGTGTATGGAATTTCAAAAGCCTAAGCCTTCTGGGGCAGGATGAAACCAGGACATTGCCCTCTTCTATGTGGAAGATTTGGAACTAGTAGTTTAAAAGATCTGCTTCCTCCTTAGTCTTCTCTTTACTAGATTCAACATAACCAGTTCTTTTAGACTTTCTAATAAGACCTTTTATAATCTTTGTTGCTCCCCTTGAAGCCTTTTCTATTTTGTAAATAACCGTTTATTGTGGCACTGAGAACTGTGACTCCCTACTTAGAAACATTGGAAACTGCAATAGTCAGCCATTCGTCCATCTAGCAATATGTTGTCTATGCTCACTGGCAGTGGCATTCCAAGATTTCAGGCAAGGGACATTTCGTGGTTGACCTGGAGTTGCTGGGGACTGAACGACCTTGAAAAGTGCTTTTTTTAAATTTCAAAGGAAGTTCCCATTGGCACCAATGGAGGGCTGAATCTATAATGCCCTGTCAATAAGGAACCCAAGAAAATATAGAGAATCCAACAGTGTTTACCCCTCTGTTCACAAGAACAAGCAATCATCAAAAGTTACCTATCCTGTTGCATCGCATGATGCCATCGATCACCTCGCAAGTTTCTTCTCCTTGGCAAGTGATGGCCTCACACCTGAACCCTCCAACTGCAGTGCAGATGCATTTCTCCTTACAGTCATTGAGCACCACAGGTTCATTAGGCTAGGGATCAAGAGATAACACTGGTATACAGGGGGAAAGGGTCAGAGAACACAGCCTAGGACCACTTGGAAAAGAAAGATTTCGTAGTAAAGGAAACCATCACTGAAAACGTAAGACGAGCTGGACTTGATCTGGCCACTGGGCATCGAGAGCAGAATTCTGTTCCCATGGTGGCCAACAAGAAGCCCTATAGGAAGCCTGCAAGCCGAATCTGAGTACAACAACATTCTTGCCCCAGCAGCAGAGATAGAAGCTAGCCATGGTGACTAATAGCCATGAATAGCTTTCTGTTCTGGAAATATGTCTAATCCTCTTTCACAACCATTCAAGTTAGTGGCCACCACTGCCTCTTGTGGGAGTGAATTCCATAGTTTAACCAGAGATGGCTGACAAAAAGGGTTGTGTAGAGGCAATCCAATATTATCCCCATCACCACCACTGCCTCCCTCTCCACATACCGGGAAATATCTGCCACGCTCAAAGCAGCCACACTCATCCAAGGAGATGCATTTCAGCCCATCAAAGAAGAAGCCAGGATCACACTGGCAGCCCTCGACACAGTATTCCGGGCATCGAATGTGGTCAGTCAGTCCAGCACAGTTGGTTTCACAGATGTTGGAACAAGTGGTATAATAACTGTTGGCAGGGCAAGTCACGGCTGCAAGAAAAGGGACACAGAGGGTTAATCGGGGGGGGGGTCCCGCATATAGCAGAAGCAGCAGAATTAAACCTGCCTGCTTTGGATGGGCATATGTGATGCTGGCCAGAGCAATGCTAGTCAACAAAAAGACCAGGTCAAAGGACCAATGAGATTTACCCCTTGGACAAGTGGAAGGAAGCAATGGAGGTTGATGCGTTAGAGATGATGAGATGCTAGCCCAACAACCTCAGTCAGCCCCCAAGTGGTCCTTGCTTGCTTATAACACCTTTTTACTTACAACAAGTCGGCAATGGCTCTGCCCTTCATTGCCTCAGGCACCACTTACTCCTAGTCTCCTTGCCTTGTGCCTTGCCTGTCTCAGTGGGTACCAACCACCACTGGAAAGAAGGGAAAGCAGAATCAAGGTTCTCTTGGTACTCACGGCAGAAGGTTGCACTTCTCCAAGGCTCAATAGTGACCCTGGCCTCCTGGCAGGCTTTCATGTAGCTCTGGAGGCTCTGGCACAGGATCTGTTGGTCACCACCTCCTACACACAGGTCATTGATGCAGTTGTCCAGATATGGCTCGGGGTTCACTATGGCATGGCACACACTGAATGGACCATTGGATGCAGTGAGGAGCCCACAGGAGCTGGGCTGTTTGAAAGCTTCTTTCTTCTCCTCCGCACAAACTAAGCAGCCCTCTGCACCACACCCATCCGTGCAGGATACGCCCAGGACTGGAATTTTCCAGGCGGCCCCAAATTCATTCACATCAGTGACCACGGTGCCATCAGGGAGCTGGAGATCGTCACTCTGGTCTCCATTGTAGTTCCCACACAAGCCGCCTACGTGGTCCTGGTAGATGCTGGGAATAGTGACCCTCACGTGGGAATACAGGTCGTAGGTCAGTGCAAAGCCAAAGGTGGAGTCTATTGTGATACTGATCCCGTGCTGAAATATTCTAAGTTGCCCAGACAAAAGATTCACAGGGAGGCGTTGAAATACTCCATCCACCTGGAGAAATAAAGGGGATTGGCCTACTGAATAAGGTGTGCTATGCAGAATAAGTGCCAATCTAGCCAAGATGCCATTCACACAATTAGCAGCTGGCAACTTAAAAATATATTGCAAGCTGATATGGAATGGACCTCGGCAAGAGAGGTAGGGTCTTTAACGTTTTTGCGCTTTGTCATAGTCCCAAAACAAGATGCGTGATCTGCAGCTGCTATTTCTGTTGGGCTACGTAAGGAAAGCTTCCATTCACTCAAATGGGATCTCTTTTCCAATGGAAGGAGCAAACACAGGGAGGGGATGATTCAGATTGAAAGTTTAGCAGTGTGTGGGGGTGATGGTGGTGATGATGATGATGATGTGTTAGGCCTCCCTACTGCACAAACTCACCCAGTAGGGTACAAACTTGGATCATGCTACCAAACCTGCAATTGACTTCTTAGAACCATTCACACAGTAGTTATGTGTGTGAAAACTACTGCTTCTACTATGGCCCTAAAAGAAGGATGGTGAGCAAATCATCTCCAAAACAATCTTCTAACCCTTAGGCAAATATGTCAGGATGATTAGTGGGTGGCCTGATCCTGGTTACAGAGTGAGTAGGAGATGAACGCCCACCCCACCAAGCTTGTCGATTTACCAGCATGAAGAGACTCACCAGCACTACTCCCCAGTTGTTCCTCAGCAAAACAAGCTGCTTGTCAAGGACCTCCACATAGACCATCGTGGGAAGTGTGATCTCCCCATTGCCCCAAGGCTCATTCTCGACAATAACAACTAGGGGTTTCAAGCTTTGGGTTGGCTTCTGCAGCTTGGTTAAGACGTAGGTGCAGGTACCCTGGAAGTTAATGATTCGGCCATCGAAGGACAGATAGAGGTCACCAACCACTGAGCAGGTGGCATTTCCAACTGCGTGGCACTTGCGGTACCCTTCCACCGTTTTGCATTCTTCATTGGGGGTGCAGGGAGCGGTAACACACACCACATTTCCACCAGCCTGGCACCTGCAACGTTCTTCGCAAGTTGGATAGAAATCTTCCAAGGCTGGATAGTAGCGTCCCTTGTAGAAGCAGCCACACTCAGACATAGGGACGCAAGTGTCAGAGCTCCTGACAAAGCCCTCATTGCACACACAGCCCTCTTCGCACTTCTCCGGGCATCGAGGCGGGACATGCAGGCTGCTGCAGGTCTGGTCACAGCCCTTGGCGCAATGTTCATAGTGACTGTTGAGCGGACAGGGTAGGGCTGCAAGTGCAAAACAGAGAGGTTAGCCAATGTTATGCTTTAGTGGTCTCGTGCAAATCTTGCATCTACAAAGCAGTAGAGGCTGGTCCATTCGGGACAATGTGAACCTGCCCCACCAAACTCAGCCTGGCTTTACCCAGCCCCACCTGAGTGCTTTCTTACTTTCAACCAGTGCAGTGGGTGGCAATAACTGCCAGCTTCCTTCCCCTAAGTCTTTGTGTTGCCCCGTAAAACCCTGCAAGGAGGAGGATGGGGAGAAAACTAGAATTTGTTGTCTCTGTTTCTCATTGTTTCTGGCTCCAACTACTCTTGAGCTCCCTGCCTTGCTCCCTACACATCCTGTCATCACTGCTAAGAAAGGATTGATGTGCAGCCACATCACAGGTGCATGGTTGCTAGAGTCACAAACAGGGGATGGTATGATATCATATTCTCTCACCTTTTCTGGCAGGAGGGGGAACAATAGAAAGCGGAATCTTCTTCTTCCTGTCACACTTTTCCAGCAGAGAGCACACTGTATTTTGAATTGGACTATGAACTTTTGCAACTTTAAAGGATGGTTGCTTGGATCTGTCTAAAGCCCTGTAGCCTGGGCAAGACATATATTTGACTAAACATGTGAGCGTGTGCGTTTATATAGACAATTTGAGAGTGATTTCTTTGTTAAAAGGGAAACAGAAGGGAGATGATGAAAGTCTGTCTGGTGGACTTGGAGAGTTACCTCTTTCTTCTCTCATTCCTTCTCCCCTGTTTCTAAACTGTTCTTTTATCTGCACTGTTTCCTCCTCTCATTATCTGCCCCTAGACCCTGCTGGAAATGAACTTGACCTTCCTAGCAGGAACTGCTTCAAACAATGGAGCACTCACGGCAGAAGGTTGCAGACCTCCAGGGGTATATGGTGACCCCAACAGCTCGGCAGTCTGCGGCATAGCTGGCGATGGCCGCACACATGAAGGCATAGCGTCCCTTGTAGAAACAATAGTCATAAATGCAATCTTGGAAGGCGCCCTCTTCGTCAACCTGGCCGTGGCACTCCCGGAAGGGCCCATCCTTGGCCACAATAAGCCCACATTCCTGGCCTGCTGCACGCTGCTGGGCAGCTAATTCTTCCATCCCTGGACATTTGGGGTCCACTATCTCCTTGCATTTTGGGTCAATGTTCTCAATTCCACTGCCGCCAAATACTGGCCTATCGGGAATGAGAATGCTCCCAGGCACAAGGGCATCATCTTCCGGGTTCCCGTTGAAGTTTCCACACAGGCCACGCAGGATGTCAGCATAGGTGTTGGGCACCGTGACTGACACCTTGCTGTCCCAGTTAAAGGTCACCACGAGGCCAAACTCAGTCTCAATCACAGCATCCTGGCCCCTCCTATATAACTTGATTCTTCCTCCAGCTGCACTATAGGGAAGGCAGGTGAGCAAGCCTTCGACCTAGGAAGACAGGAGAAGATGCTGCTGTTGAAAAAATGAAAAGGATATTTGGAGCTCTTGTTTCCCACCCCCATAATCTCAACAGGAGGTGTGGCAAACTCCAGTCCAGGGGTCTAGTGTGGCCGTGCAAGTCTCTATCTGACACCTTTGACCTTTCTGCATTCACACACCCAGCCCCCGATTTGCACCCCCCTTGAGTGCTCTTGCCTGGTTGGAAAGCCAAACTCCCACTGGTATATGCCCCAGTGTAGTCCTTCCACAACTTAATAGGGAGGAGGATGTGGTCAGAATTAGTTTTCATTGCTCTCAGCCAGCGGACAGCGGCCACAACGCAACAGTCCTCTGCAAATGGCACCAGAGGGGACTAATCATAACCATAATGATATCCCACTGTTAGCCAGACTTACCAAGACTTTGCCAGAATGTTGCCTGCTGACTATAATCTCAACATCATAGACGTTGACTTGAACACTCCGGGTCCAGGTCACAGCAGTATTTCCCCGGTATTCATTCTGAACATAGACGCTGAAGCCTTCCAGTTCCAGGGGTCTGTTGAAAACCTCAGCAAGCACATAGGCACAGGGCCCTTGGAAATCAAATCTCTTTTTGTCAAAGCTCAAGTAGTGGGGATCCCCAGATGCAGAGCAGGTGCTGTTCCCAGTCGGATAGCATCCCCGCAGGCCTTTGACCACTTGGCACCGTTCCGTTGGTTTGCAAGCACTAGCTGCACACTCCACCACCCTCCTGGTCAGGTTGCACACACAATGCTTCTGGCACATGTCATCCGCCCAGAAAGCCTCATTGGGGGCATAGGGGCGCCCTTCGTACAGACAACCGCAGCTGCTCTTGGGGATGCATGATCCTTGGCTCAGCACAAAACCCTCAAGGCACTGGCAGCCTTCGACACACACAGCTGGGCAGAGCTTTGGCCCTTGAATTTGGTCATCCATGCAGGTGGCTGGGCAGGCTGTTCCGCAGGTTTGGTACTGGCTGTTCGGAGGGCAGTCCAGGTCTGTAGGGAAGAGAAGGGGTTGGGTGGGTCACAGTGGTGATGTTATGTTGACCCTACTGGCAACATGGACTAACACAGCAGGTGGATTCTGGATACAAATCTTGAGAATGAGAGCCTGGTCTTCTGCCCTGCCACCCAGTTCCTACACTGAGTGCACTACTGTGCATTTATATTGGATCACATCCCCACTATGCATTCATAGCACTTTTAGACCACTTTAAAAATTATGATTTCCCCCAGAGAATCCTGGGAACGGTGGCTTGTTATTTAGGAGACTGCTCACCTTTAAGACCCCCATCTGAAACAAGGCCCCCTTCAGTTAGTTCATCCCCTTCTTTTCCGTGCTTTGCATACTCACAGCATCCAGAGTCCCTTCTCCAGTCACCAATTTGGGCTCCCTCGCTCTGGCAGGCATCGGCATAGGCTGCCAGGGCATCACACAAGGACTGTTTGTTGCCTTCGGTGGAGCAGACGTCAAACACACAGTTTGTAAAGTAGATTGTGGGGGGCACCTTGGCATGGCAAAAAGCAAAGGGGCCATTGGAAACCTTGGTTAGCAGACCACAGTAGGCCTCTGACTCATACTTCTGGGCCTGATCGGATTCGCAAGGCTTACATGGCCCATTGCAATCATGCCAGCAAAGGCTGCCAATAGTCGTCACCTCCCAGCTTTCACCAAAGGCCGGGATGTTAGGGGCTGTGGTGCCTGCAGGGCTTTCGAAGTCATCGTTGGGATTCTCGTTATAATTCCCACATAAGCCACCGACAGCCTCCTGATAAGCACTGCTGATGGTGACACGGAGATGGTGACTCCAATCGTAAGATACCTTCAGCTGGAAGTCCGTGGAAAGTATGACAGAAGTGCCAACCTGCAAAATTTGCAAGTTCCCACCCTTCAGATAAATGGGCAAGTGTGCCCGGATACCATTGACCTGTATTACAGAGGAAGAAAGACACAAGAGTGTAAAATCACCTTTTGCTCATGTGTAGCAGCAGAAGCTAAACTAAGCTAAGCTTCTATTGGACTACAGGTTTTGGCTATTTTTGGATACGATTGGGCACCATCTGGATGCCACGAACCTTAAAAAACTTCATGGATTTGAACCAAATTGGACATGTTTGTTCCTGAGATCCATGAGCAGGTTTTCCTCTTTTTTTGGATATGAGTGGCTGGCATTTTGAATCATGGAAGGAACCTTTAGAAGCTGCACTGATCCTTTGGTTTCTTCTCCTTCCCTAGCAATGCCAGGTACAAATTTGCTGGTGGCTTATATGTAAAGATGTTTCATAAGTCAAGATGCAGGGCCTAAAAATGTCACCAATCTTTGTTTTACAATTTGAACATGTGCAGTAACCATCAGCTCCATGGCCGTCATGGACTCGTAAGTAGCATTGAACTTGCCTTCTGAATCAACTCTGAATCGATCAATACTCACCTGTACAAAACCAATTTCTGATCTGGTCATGGTGATGGTATACCCATAAACCTCAGTTGTCACCACAGACACATAGGACACTGCTTTGTTCCCCCGGTTTTCATTCTTGGCAAAGATATGGAAAGATGGAAGTCTGAAGCTTTCAGCACGTGTTTTGACAATAGTATAGGTGCAAGTGCCTTGGAAGTCATACTTGCGTCCGTCAAAAGTGTTGTAGTGCGGGTCACCCATACCCCAGCAGGTAGCATTAGAGGATGGCACACAGTGCGGTTGACCATTTATCATCTTGCACACCATGCCTCTTCGGCACTTTACAATGGTACAGCTGGGTGGTGGTACAACTAAGGACAGGAGGGAGAAAGTTAGTTGTCTGTAAACCTATTGGAGTTGAGGGAAAGCTTCCTACATCATCATTATTAATATTATTGAAAGAATATCAGGTTTCTAACTTCTGAAACACTATTGCATCTAATATCCCTAAATCCAGGGATTCAAAATTGGAAACCCTACTTTAAAAATGAAAGAAGAGAATAATAATTTAATAATTCTGCAAGCAAACAGATGAGGGGGTCTCATCTCTCACAACTTGCTATAAGATTACAATGAATCACTGTTCCCTTCACAGCAGCATTGAGGAGGCCAACACAGTTCTGGAACCGTGGGGAGGGAACGTTCAATTCTGTCTCTATGTGCTGCTACAGCCTTGACAAATACTGCCTCTCTGAAAGTGCTTTTTACGTTTCAAAGGAAGTGCCCGTTGCCACCAGTGGAGGGCTGAATTCATAATACCCAGCACTCCTTGCCTATTACACATGAATCCAAGAGAATACAGGGAATCCAAAAATCCCTCTGTTCATTTAGAAAAGTAATCATCACAAGTCACCTTTCTTGTGGCATTGCATGACGCCATCGATCACCTCACAAGTTTCTTCTCCTTGGCAAGTGATGGCCTCACACCTGAACCCTCCAGCTGCAGTGCAGATGCATTTCTCCTTGCAGTCATTGAGCACCACGGGTTCATTAGGCTAGGGATCAAGAGATAACACTGGTATACAGGGGGAAAGGGTCAGAGAACACAGCCTAGGACCACTTGGAAAAGAAAGATTTTCATAGTAAAGGAAACCACCATTGAAAACGTAAGACGAGCCAGGCTTGATGTTGCCACTGGGCATCGAGACCAGAATTCTGTTCCCATGGTGGCCAACAAGAAGCCCTGTAGGAAGTTTGCAAGCCGCAGCTGAGTACAACAACATTCTTGCTCCAGCAGCAGAGATAGAAGCTAGCCATGGTGACTAATAGCCATGGATAGATTTCTGTTCTGGAAATATGTCTAATCCTCTTTCACAACCATTCAAGTTAGTGGCCACCACTGCCTCTTGTGGGAGTGAATTCCATAGTTTAACCAGAGATGGCTGACGAAAAGGGTTGTGTATAGGAAATCAAATATCCCCATCACCACCACTGCCTCCCTCTCCACATACCGGGAAATATCTGCCACGCTCAAAGCAGCCACACTCATCCAAGGAGATGCATTTCAGGCCATCAAAGAAGAAGCCAGGATCACACTGGCAGCCCTCGACACAGTATTCCGGGCATCGAATGTGGTCAGTCAGTCCAGCACAGTTGGTTTCACAGATGTTGGAACAAGTGGTATAATAACTGTTGGCAGGGCAAGTCACGGCTGCAAGAAAAGGGACACAGAGGGTTAATCGGGGGGTCCCGCATATAGCAGAAGCAGCAGAATTAAACCTGCCTGCTTTGGATGGGCATATGTGATGCTGGCCAGAGCAATGCTAGTCAACAAAAAGACCAGGTCAAAGGACCAATGAGATTTACCCCTTGGAGAAGTGGAAGGAAGCAATGGAGGTTGATCCGTTAGAGATGATAAGATTCTAGCCCAACAACCTCAGTCAGCCCCCAAGTGGTCCTTGCTTGCTTGCAACACCTTTTTACTTACAACAAGTCGGCAATGGCTCTGCCCTTCATTGCCTCAGGCACCACTTACTCCTAGTCTCCTTGCCTTGTGCCTTGCCTGTCTCAGTGGGTACCAACCACCACTGGAAAGAAGGGAAAGCAGAATCAAGGTTCTCTTGGTACTCACGGCAGAAGGTTGCACTTCTCCAAGGCTCAATAGTGACCCTGGCCTCCTGGCAGGCTTTCATGTAGCTCTGGAGGCTCTGGCACAGGATCTGTTGGTCACCACCTCCTACACACAGGTCATTGATGCAGTTGTTCAGATATGGCTCGGGGTTCACTATGGCATGGCACGCACTGAATGGACCATTGGATGTAGTGAGGAGCCCACAGGAGCTGGGCTGTTTGAAAGCTTCTTTCTTCTCCTCCGCACAAACTGAGCAGCCCTCTGCACCACACCCATCCGTGCAGGGTACGCCAACAACTGGAATTTTCCAGGCGGCACCAAATTCATTCACATCAGTGACCACGGTGCCATCAGGGAGCTGGAGATCGTCACTCTGGTCTCCATTGTAGTTCCCACACAAGCCGCCTACGTGGTCCTGGTAGATGCTGGGAATAGTGACCCTCACGTGGGAATACAGATCGTAGGTCAGTGCAAAGCCAAAGGTGGAGTCTATTCTGATACTGAGCCCGTGCTGAAAGATTCTGAGACGCCCATACAAAAGATTCACAGGGAGGCGCTGCAATACTCCATCCACCTGGAGAAATAAAGGGGATTGGCCTACTGAATAAGGTGTGCTATGCAGATTAAGGGCCAATCTAGCCAAGATGCCATTCACACAATTAGCAGCTGGCTACTTGAAAATATATTGCAAGCTCATATGGAATGGACCTCGGTGAGGGAGGTAGGGTCTTTGTCATAGTCCCGAAACAGAATTGGGTCATCTGCAGCTGGTATTTCTGTTGGGCTAGATAAGGAAAGCTTCCATTCACTCAAATGGGATCTCTTTTCCAATGCAAGGAGCAAACACAGGGAGGGGATTATTCAGATTGAAAGTTTAGCAGTGCATGGGGGTGATTATGATGATGTGTAAGGCTTCCCTACTGCACATATTCACCCATCAGGGTGCAAACTTGGATCGTGCTCCCGAGCCTGCAATTGACTTCTTAGAACCATTCACACAGTAGTTATGTGTGTGAAAACTACTGCTTCTACTCTGGCCCTAAAAGAAGGATGGTGAGCAAATCATCTCCAAAACAATCTTCTAACCCATAGGCAAATATCTCAGGATGATTAGTGGGTGGCCTGATCCTGGTTACAGAGTGAGTAGGAGATGAACGCCCACCCCACCAAGCTTGTCGATTTAGCAGCATGAAGAGACTCACCAGCACTACTCCCCAGTTGTTCCTCAGCAAAACAAGCTGCCTGTCAAGGACCTCCACATAGACCATCGTGGGAAGTGTGATCTCCCCATTGCCCCAAGGCTCATTCTTGACAATAACAACTAAGGGTTTCAAGCTCTGGGTTGGCTTCTGCAGCTTGGTTAAGACGTAGGTGCAGGTACCCTGGAAGTTAATGATTCGGCCATCGAAGGACAGATAGAGGTCACCAACCACCGAGCAGGTGGCATTTCCAACTGCGTGGCACTTGCGGTACCCTTCCACCGTTTTGCATTCTTCATTGGGGGTGCAGGGAGCGGTAACACACACCACATTTCCACCAGCCTGGCACCTGCAACGTTCCTCGCAAGTTGGATAGAAATCTTCCAAGGCTGGATAGTAGCGTCCCTTGTAGAAGCAGCCACACTCAGACATAGGGACGCAAGTGTCAGAGCTCCTGACAAAGCCCTCATTGCACACACAGCCCTCCTCACACTTCTCCGGGCATCGAGGCGGGACATGCAGGCTGCTGCAGGTCTGGTCACAGCCCTTGGCGCAATGTTCATAGTGACTGTTGAGTGGACAGGGTAGGGCTGCAAGTGCAAAACAGAGAGGTTAGGCAGTGTTATGCTTTAGTGGTCTCATTCAAAACTTGCATCTACAAAGCAGTAGAGGCTGGTCCATTCAGAACAATATGGACCTGCCCCACCAAACTCGGCCTGGCTTTACGCAGCCCCACCTGAGTGTCTTCTTACTTCCAGCCATTGCAGTGGGTGGCAATAGCTGCTAGCCTCCTTCCCCTAAGTCTTTGTGTTGCCCCGTAAAACCCAGCAAGGAGGAGGATGGGGAGAAAACTAAAATTTGTTGTCTCCGTTTCTCATTGTTTCTGTGTCCAACTACTGTTGAGCTCCCTGCCTTGCTCCCTACAAATCGTGCCATCACCGCTAAGAGAGGATCGATGTGCAGCCACATCACAGGTCATGGTTGCTAGAGTCACAAACAGGGGATGGTATGATATCATATTCTCTCACCCTTTCTGGCAGGAGGGGAAACAATAGAAAGCGGAATCTGCTTCTTCCTGTGACACTTTTCCAGCAGAGAGCACACTGTAATTTGAATTGGACTATGAACTTTTGCAACTTTAAAGGATGGTTGCTTGGATCTGTCTAAGCCCTGTAGCCTGGGCAAGACATTTCTTTGACTAAACATGTGAGCGTGTGCGTTTATATAGACAATTTGAGCGTGATTTCTTTGTTAAAAGGGAAACATAGAAGGGAGATGATGAAAGTCTCTCTGGTGGGCTTGGAGAGTTACCTCTTTCTTCTCTCATTCCTTCTCCACTGTTTCTAAACTGTTCTTTTATCTGCACTGTTCCCTCCTCTCATTATCTGCCCCTAGACCCTGCTGGAAATGAACTTAACCTTCCTAGCAGGAACTGCTTCAAACAATGGAGCACTCACGGCAGAAGGTTGCAGACCTCCAGGTGTATATGGTGACCCCAACAGCTTGGCAGTCTGCGGCATAGCTGGCGATGGCCGCACACATGAAGGCATAGCGTCTCTTGTAGAAACAATAGTCGTAAATGCAATCTTGGAAGGCGCCCTCTTCGTCAACCTGGCCGTGGCACTCCCGGAAGGGCCCATCCTTGGCTACAATAAGCCCACATTCCTGGCCTGCTGCACGCTGCTGGGCAGCTAATTCTTCTATCCCTGGGCATTTGGGGTCCACTATCTCCTTGCATTTTGGGTCAATATTCTCAATTCCACTGCCGCCAAATACTGGCCTATCGGGAATGAGAATGCTCCCAGGCACAAGGGCATCATCTTCAGGGTTCCCGTTGAAGTTCCCACACAGGCCACGCAGAATGTCGGCATAGGTGTTGGGCACCGTGACTGACACCTTGCTGTCCCAGTTAAAAGTCACCACGAGGCCAAAGTCAGTCTCAATCACAGCATTCTTGCCCCTCCTATATAACTTGATTCTTCCTCCAGCTGCACTATAGGGAAGGAAGGTGAGCAAGCCTTCGACCTAGGAAGACAGGAGAAGATGCTGCTGTTGAAAAAATGAAAAGGATATTTGGAGCTCTTGTTTCCCACCCCCATAATCTCAACAGGAGGTGTGTCAAACTCCAGTCCAGGGGTCTAGTGTGGCCGTGCAAGTCTCTATCTGACACCTTTGACCTTTCTGCGTTCACACACCCAGCCCCCGATTTGCACCCCCCTTGAGTGCTCTTGCCTGGTTGGAAAGCCAAACTCCCACTGGTATATGCCCCAGTGTAGTCCTTCCACAACTTAATAGGGAGGAGGATGTGGTCAGAATTAGTTTTCATTGCTCTCAGCCAGCGGACAGTGGCCACAACGCAACAGTCCTCTTCAAATTGCACCAGAGGGGACTAATCACTATCATAATGATATCCCACTGTTAGCCAGACTTACCAAGACTTTGCCTGAATATTGCCTGCTGACTATAATCTCAACATCATAGACGTTGACTTGAACACTCCGGGTCCAGGTCACAGCAGTATTTCCCCGGTATTCATTTTGAACATAGACACTGAACCCTTCCAGTTCCAGGGGTCTGTTGAAAACCTCAGCAAGCACATAGGCACAGGGCCCTTGGAAATCAAATCTCTTTTTGTCAAAGCTCAAGTAGTGGGGATCTCCGGATGCAGAGCAGGTGCTGTTCCCAGTCGGATAGCATCCCCGCACGCCTTTGACCACTTGGCATCGTTGCGTTCGTTTGCAAGCACTAGCTGCGCACTCCACCACCCTCCTGGTTGGGTTGCACACACAACGCTTATGGCACATGTCATCCGCCCAGAAAGCCTCATTGGGGGCATAGGGGCGCCCTTCGTACAGACAACCGCAGCTGCTCTTGGGGATGCATGATCCTTGGCTCAGCACAAAACCCTCAAGGCACTGGCAGCCTTCGACACACACAGCTGGGCAGAGCTTTGGCCCTTGAATTTGGTCATCCATGCAGGTGGCTGGGCAGGCTGTTCCGCAGGTTTGGTACTGGCTGTTCGGAGGGCAGTCCAGGTCTGTAGGGAAGAGAAGGGGTTGGATGGGTCACAGTGGTGATGTTATGTTGACCCTACTGGCAACATGGACTAACACAGCAGGTGGATTCTGAATACAAATCTTGAGAATGAGAGCCTGGTCTTCTGCCCTGCCACCCAGTTCCTACACTGAGTGCACTACTGTGCATTTATATTGGATCACATCCCCACTATGCATTCATAGCACTTTTAGACCACTTTAAGAATTATGATTTCCCCCAGAGAATCCTGGGAACTGTGGCTTGTTATTTAGGAGACCGCTCACCTTTAAGACTCCCATCTGAAACAAGGCCCCCTTCAGTTAGTTCATCCCCTTCTTTTCCTTGCTTTGCATACTCACAACATCCAGAGTCCCTTCTCCAGTCACCAATTTGGGCTCCCTCGCTCTGGCAGGCATCGGCATAGGCTGCCAGGGCATCACACAAGGACTGTTTGTTGCCTTCGGTGGAGCAGACGTCAAACACACAGTTTGTAAAGTAGATTGTGGGGGGCACCTTGGCATGGCAAGAGGTAAAGGGGCCATTGGAAACCTTGGTTAGCAGACCACAGTAGGCCTCTGACTCATACCTTCTGGGCCTGATCGGATTCGCAAGGCTTACATGGCCCATTACAATCATGCCAGCAAAGGCTGCCTATAGTCGTCACCTCCCAGCTTTCACCAAAGGCCGGGATGTTAGGGGCTGTGGTGCCTGCAGGGGTTTCGAAGTCATCGCTGGGATTCTTGTTATAATTCCCACATAGGCCACCCACAGCCTCCTGATAAGCACTGCTGATGGTGACACGGAGATGGTGACTCCAGTCGTAAGATACCTTCAGCTGGAAGTCAGTGGAAAGTATGGCAGAGGTGCCAACCTGCAAAATTTGCAAGTTCCCATCCTTCAGATAAATGGGCAAGTGTGCCCGGATACCATTGACCTGTATTACAGAGGAAGAAAGACACGAGAGGGTAAATTCACCATTTGCTCATGTGTAGCAGCAGATGCTAAACTAAACTAAGCTAAGCTAGGCCTGCTTCTCCATCTATTGGGCTACAAGTTTTGGCTGGTTTTTGATGCCATGAACCTTAAAAAACTTCATGGATTTGAACCAAATTGGACATGTTTGTTCATGAGATCCATGAGCAGGTTTTCCTCTTTCTTTGGATATGAGTGGCTGGCATTTTGAATCATGGAAGGAACCTTTAGAAGCTGCACTGATCCTTTGCTTCCCTAGCAATGCCAGGTACAAATTTGCTGGTGGCTTATATGTAAAGATGTCTCAAAAGTCAAGATGGCAGGGCCTAAAAATGTCACCAGTCTTTTGTTTTACAACTTGAACATGTGCAGTAACCATCATCTCCATGGCCGTCATGGACTCGAAAGTGGCATTGACCTTGCCTTCTGAATCAACTCTGAATCGATCATCACTCACCTGTACAAAACCAATTTCTGATCTGGTCATGGTGATGGTATACCCATAAACCTCAGTTGTCACCACGGTCACATAGGACACTGCTTTGTTCCCCCGGTTTTCATTCTTGGCAAAGATATGGAAAGATGGGAGTCCAAAGGTTTCAGCACGTGTCTTGACAAAAGTGTAGGTGCAAGTGCCTTGGAAGTCATACTTGCGTCCGTCAAAAGTGTTGTAGTGCGGGTCACCCATTGCCCAGCAGGTAGCATTAGAGGATGGCACACATTGCGGTAGACCATTTATCATCTTGCACACCATGCCTCTGCGACACAGCACATTGCTACAGGTGAGTTCTGGTTCAGCTAAGGACAGGAGGGAGGAAGTTATTTGCCAGCACTCTGAACCAATTAGAATCCATACAAAGTTTGCTACCACTTTGAAGATTTAGCAAAGCTTCATATTTTTAGTTTCAAACACTTTTTCAGATCTTGAAACTATTAAATTAATCATGCTGATTAATATTATCGCAACAATGGAAACTTTTTAACTTGGATGCCGTATTGCACATTGCTTCATCTACTATCCCTAAACTCAGTTGCTTTCAAAATTATGAGCATTATTTTTAAAATAAATGAGGAGAATAAAAATTATTGCAAGCAAATGGGGTCAAATCTCTTAAATCTTACTATAGGTCTACAATCAATGACTGATACCTGCACCACATTGCCCCCTAGTGCTGCTCCTTCTTAGTGAGACTAGGCGTTATTTATACTAGGAATGGGGAACCTTTGGCCATCTCTATGGTTTTGGACTCAAAGTCCCATCAACCATAACAAGCAAGGCCAATGGTCAGGCATGAAGGGAACTGGAGCCCCTTGACACCTGGTGGGACACAGATTCCTCATCCCTGATTTAAACAGAAGACATTTCTTTTCCCTCTTACTCTGAAAGGGGGCATTGACTGAGATTAGAAGCCCAAGTGAATTGCCCTCCCCCATGAACCTGGCACTGGCAGCAGGGGTCCCACAGCTGTATGTGTAGCCATTTCATTGCTGAGGGGGATGCTACCCACTTCTGAATGTCCTCCCACTCTCTGCAGCATGAATCCCCACATAGGGTACAAGCTTTTTGAGTTGTCTTCTGGAAATTGGTAACAGAAGGGTCCTGAGGCTACTGAGAGGCTGTAGCCCCTGCATGCCAGGAAGAAAGTCAAGGCAGGGGGAAGACCAAGCTGGCCCCATCAATCAGCCAAAGAAGCAACGGGTGCTTGCTTCCCCCCTCCCTACCTTAAAGCATACAGTAGCACCTTGGTTGTCGAACTTAATCCATTCTGGGAGTCCGTTTGACTCCCGGAACTGTTCGAAAACCAAGGCGCGGCTTCCGACTGGCTGCAGGAAGCCACAGAAGCCGCGTCAGTTGATTGACTTCCAAAAAATGTTTGCAGACTAGAACGCCTACTTCCAGGTTTGCGGCATTCAGGAGACAATGTGTTCAGGAGTCAAGCCATTCGACAACCAAGGTACCACTCTGCTCAGCTCTACCTATCTGTGGTCCTGGAACTGCAGAATGGAACAGAAAGACACCCTAACCCCAACCATTGGCCGAAGGAACAAGAGCCTTCAACTGCTATTGAAGAAAGAACACTAGAGTGGAGGCTGACCTAGTGGGGCACAAGGGTCATTGCCCCACCAACCTGAGTCTGCCCTCAGCCAGCTTCCACTTGCCTCCATTCTTAATTGCATCTAGTCCAGAGGATGGCTCTGAGTGTCACCTTCCTCCTTACTCTCAGTGTAGCATTTGTATAACTCTGAAGCGAGAAGGATGGGGACTAACCTCGAGTTAGCTTGCCCCACCTGCTATTGATTCAACTCCACCTACTATTGGCCTCTCTGCCTTCTGTCTCCACCAGTCCCAATGGACTCTGGCTGCCACTGCTAGCAAGGGAAGATGTGCCTGGTCTGAACTGGATATAAGCACTCTCTTGTAACTCCTTACCTTGCTCTTACCTTGAAGAACCAGTCAGCCCTTTCTAACTTTTCCCTCTGCTTCCCTTTCTTTGTCTAATGGGTGTCAGAGCCCTCATGTATTTTATTATTATTCCTTGTCTTAAAAGCAGGATAAAAAGACATCAAACACATGGATAAGCTTTGGAACCTTCTACTTACGGTCTCTGCCGGCACCACACGACCCATAGCCATTCATATTTGCAATGCCCACACTGATGACGCAAAAATGGGACAGGGGGTTTGCCACTATGTAGGGCACAAGTATATCTGGCAGGTCATAGCTCCCCCAAGAGTACTCTGAGCCAGGAACTGGACTCCACTTCACTCCGCTCAGAAGATTCTCATTCACCGTGAGACCACCAGTCTCCAAACTCTTCACCACCAAAAGAATAGAGTTCTGAAAGCCGACTTGCCCATTCACATTGTACGAGAGGCTGTAACTTTCAATGTCTGGAATCCCTATCAAGAAGGTGTCGTAGCTAAAAGACTGGGTGCTCCCACCATTACTATAGAGGAACACCTGTACCGGAACATCGGCCGAGAGGTAGATTGGGGTTTGGGGTGAGATCTGAATCTGCTGGATCTGCCCACCTCCCAGGCTTATCGTCTGCTTTGATGTACCCATCTGGTAGTTCAGGATGGTGGCTTGGGATGCTGAGACATAAAGGGTGTCAGTTTTGGTCTGCCAAGGTATAGGAGGGGCCACAAACGTCTTCCCCCAGTTGGACACGGGCAGGAGCTGCTCAAAGACATGGTTGCATTTAGTGTACCTCCACGAACAGGCATGGCCGGACAGGACAGCCACTGGTAGCTGAGAAACAATCCTAGTGCCGGAGAGATCACCTTTTCCTTGCAACTGGACTCCAGTGAAAGCATTTAGTGTCACACTCAGTTTACTTCCTGCGGTGTATGTTTGCCCATTGAAGGTAATTGGGCTCGTCAGGTGGATATCGACCACATTCGGTCCCTGGGTGGTTAAGACAGCAAACTCTTGTAAATATCCTGTAGGGCCTATGGCAGGACCCACAACATAATGCTCAGTCCCTAAACTGCTCACAGGGTAGAGCAGAGCAGTTTCTGTGCTATAAGGCTTGGAGCTCAAGGACACCACCGACACATCTTTGTCTGACTGGATCTGGACAACGCTAGAGAAAACTTTGCTGCCCATGATTTCCACAAAATTTGGGAGCTCAACTTGCACCATCTTCCCCTTATCGACAGTGAGCCTTCTTTCAAAGTTCTCTTCCTGTGGGCAGCCTTCACAAGGGACAGAGACTGTCACGGTGGTCGAGTCAGAGTAAGCGATGATCTGCACTTCAAGCTTGCCTTGCTGGTCAAAATTCTGCATAAAGGAGGTGGCAAAATGTGTCCCAAAGCTCCTACCGAGGCAGGTAACTATAAGGGCAGGCAGAAAAGAGAGTGAAGAAGAGGGTGGTAAAGGATATTGTAAGGTTAGACATGCTGAGTTAGAATGATTTCAGTCTCCTCCAGCCTTCTGTTTGCAATAACAACCTCTCAATGTATTCCCTTGCCCCCTAAAATGAATGCTCTCGTCCAGGTCTTCATCTAGCCAGGACAAGGGCTGTGTACTCCCACTGAGGTAGAAATGGATGGCTCTGGTCCACATCAATTTCTCATGTGTTCATTTCTAAGGATTTGTAAGAGCCACATTTCATTCTAGGCAACTTTCTGAGGGCCCCAGGGCAGGCTAGGCTGGGCCAGAGGCAAATGTGGGCAGAGCAGCAAATGTAAATCTTACCCTTCCACAGTAGGCCAGTTTCTACGCCTGCTCACACACATCTAGACGTGAGCCAGAGGAGCATGGGGCTTCAGTAAGCTGCTCAGCTGAGGCACAGAAGGCTCCCCATACCACAGCTGAGGAGCCTCAACAAGTCTCTGGCTAGCAAGGAGACTCTCCCCAGTACCCAAAGAGATCCTCATTTGGCTCTGGGGTTGGTCTTCTGAGTGAGTTCCAGCACCTTTTTTCTATGGGACCGCCTTTTTTCTATGGGACCGCCTCTCCTGGTATGCCCCGCAGAGGACCTTAAGGTCCACAAATAACAACACTTTGGAGGTCCTGAGTCTCAATGAGGTTAGATTGGTTTCAACTAGGGCCAGGGCCAGCACTGGCCCCAGCACTCTGTCACAAGAGACTAAGGCCCTGCGGGACTTGACTTCTTTCCGCAGGGCCTGCAAGACAGAGCTGTTCCGCCTGGCCTTTGGTTTGGACTCGGTCTGACCCTTATGTTTCCCTCCCCTTATGGTCTTGATTTATCAGCTACTTCAAAATGAGGCTGCATTTTAAATTGCATTTTAACCTGTATTTTAAACTGGGGGTTTTCCCACCCTCTCTTTTTCCCCTATTGTTTTTACTGTGGTTTTATTGGTGTTAGCTGCCCTGAGCCCAGCTCTGGCCAGGAAGGACAGGGTATAAATAAACTTTATTATTATTATTATTATTATTATTATTATTATTACCCAAAAAAGGAGAAAGCACTGGGGATTCCTATGTTTCCTAGATAACTGGAGTGTTTTAACTCCTATAGCAAGGGTGTCAGGGGACCTTACGTTACAACTTATACAACAGAAAATAATATTTAGAAGTTATCGGACTCCACTGCATTTGTATAGAAAAGGATATTCTAAGATATCATTTTGTTGGAGCTGTAACAAGTGTAATGCTTCTTAAAACATATGTTTTTATAATGTCCTATACTTAGTAAGTTTTGGGGGGGAAGTCATGAATTATATAAATATGACTTTGCGGAAAAAGCTAAAATTTTCAAAGGATAATATTCTTTTGAACTGTGTGCCTACTGTTGGGAATTTGACAACCAGACAGTGTAAATGGATTCTCTATGGCCAAAAGACTGATAATGCTACATTGGAAAGATAAATATAAAGCTCCATTTATTCAATGGATTGAAGACCTGACTTCACTTCCCATTTATGAATGGGTTGCTTATAGACATAGACTCTGCAATGACAAGTATAATGAAATTTGGAAGTCATTTATACAAAATGCAGTAGGTTAAAAATGGTCATTTTTAACTGTGAACAATTGTAATAGCGGTATACTATTTTCTTTTTCTGCTTTTTCTTCTTTTCTTCACGTTTTTCTTTTTTAAAAAAGCATCTGTTTCGTAAAGAAAATTAAAGGAAGGAAGGAAGGAAGGAAGGAAGGAAGGAAGGAAGGAAGGGGGTTCTGTCAAACCCCTAACTGAAGATTGTAGGTAGTGAACCTGGGATCTTCTGCAAATGTTTTATTATTAAACCACAGCCTTCCTCTTTCCTCCTGAAACATTCCAACAAACATTTCCTCTGCAACCAAGTTCTCCTCTTCTACCAGATACTCACGTCAGTGGTGGAGCGTGTTTTCATATCATTCGGGGCAGGGGCATAGCTACTGGCTACGGCATCCGGAGCAGTAGGGGCTGGGCGATCTGCCCACGAGGGCGCCACCACGATCCCACCTCCGCAAACTGCTCATGGCACCACTGCTGCTGTCCACGCGTGGCACTGCTGCTGCGATCCGTGCACAGCACTGCTGCCGCAAACCCGCCACCACGATCACGGCAGTGGCAGGGGGCGAGCGCCGCTCCACCGATCCACCCGGAGGATTTTGTCACCCTCCCCCAGGGATGGCACCCGGGGCGGTGCCCCCCACCCACCCTCACCTTCCTCCGCCAGTGACTGGGGGGCACACATTTCGGGGGGGCAGAGTGTGACGGACAAACAGAGCTGCCATGCACTAGCCCAGCCTGAGCCAGAGCAACACCAGCCCCGAGCTACTTTGCAAGGCTGGAATGATCCCAGCTTTGCAAAGTGCACCTGGCCCTGCAGCGCTTTGCGAGGCTGGGATCTCAGGGAGGGTGGCGTGAGAAGGATGCCGTGCACCCTTTGATCCCAGACTCACCTGTGAGGGCCTGGGATCTTAGGGTGCATGGCTTTCATGTCCTCCTCCCACCGCCCTCCCAAGCCAGCTCCATGGCAGAGGGCTGGCTCAGGGAGGGTGGAATAAGCAGCACACTCCCAAGAAAAATGTTCCTGGGATGCTCACCCCAGTAAGCCCTCTCTGCTATGCCCCTGACTCACATTTATCTGCTAGAAAACTGAGCAGCCTCCCTGTTTTCCCTATACCTCCATCACCCCATTTTCTTTTCTCAGTTGAGCTCTTGGAAGCTCCCAGGTGCCTGTCGGGCCATTGGGAGAGAGAGAGGAATATTATTTGCCTTCTAATTATAAAAGCATATTGTTCTCCCACCTGTTTTCTTCAGTTCGAAGCCATTTCCTCCATGCTCATTAATACTCACCCCAGAATGCTGAGTTCCAGACCCAAAGGCAGATGAGGATGAAGCTTGTCCTCCCCATGGCTGAACAAGGAGGGAGAGAGAAGAAATCGTGTTTGGATATTATTTATTTTTGTATTATTTCACCAGATATATATATATATATATATATATATATATATATACCACTTGTTTGTAGAAAAAGACCTCAAAGGCATTTACAGAAAAGATAAAATATAAAGCGACAGAATTATTACTTTTTTAAAAATGCAGCCATCATTTAAGACATACAGAAAGCTAAGGCTACAATAAAATAGCCTAAAACAAATTAAAACTCATACAAACTGGACAGGCTTTCCTAAATAATAGTATCTTCAGCAGGCACCCAAAAGAATACGGTGAAGGAGCCTGCCTGATATCAATAGGCAAGGAGTTCCAATGTTTCAGTGCTGCCACAGTAAACAATCAAGTTCTTACAGATGTGGTGTGAGTATTATGTGGCACCTGTAAAAGTGCCAATTCTGCTGATCGAAGTGTTCGAGTGGATACATATGGGGTAAGTTAATGGGGTACAGAGACTGGAGCTTATGGGGCACTGTCCTTAGCCAGGCTCTGCCTGCCTGCCTTCGTATTTGCAACCAAGCCTGGCTCTCAGTGTCCTCCTCCTTAGTCTCGGTTTCCCCTCCTAGAACTCTGCAGGGAAGGAGATGGGGACAAATCTAGCAGCAATCAGTTCCATCTGTCAATATTTTTGCCTTTGCCTGTTAGCCTCCCTGCCTTTGCCGATCCAATCACAATAGGCATCAGCCACCACTAAACATAGCTAGTTTATTATTGTTCCAGGCCAGGGGTCAGCAAACCTTTTCAGCAGGGGGCTGGTCCACTTTCCCACAGACCTTGGGGGGGGGGGCGGACTATACTTTGGAAAGGGAAAAAAATGAATGAATTCCTATGCCCCACAAATAACCCAGAGATGCATCTTAAATAAAAGGACACATTCTACTCATGTAAAAACACACTGATTCCCAGACTGTCCGCGGGCTGGATTTAGAAGGCGATTGGGCTGGATCTGGCCCCTGGGCCTTAGTTTGCCTACCCATGTTCCATGGGTGTGTCACACTGCTGTCACCTCCCAGAAGTTACTGTGAACTTATCTCCAAAGAGTCTCTCCATCTTCGCACGTAGGAACAAAACACTCCTGAGGCTCCCTGAAGACTAACTTAAGAACCCAAGAAGAGCCTGCTGGATCAGGCCAGTGGCCCGTCTAGTCCAGAATCCTGTTCTCACAGTAGCTGAACAGGTGCCTGAGAGAAACGGGCAAGCTGGATATGAGTACACAAGCACTCTGCCCACCTGTGTTTCTCCACAACTGGAATTAAAAACTACACTCTCTTTGACATCGCCATTGTGGGTTAGCCACAATGTAGTAGATTTAGCTAATCCCCTTTTAAAGCCATCCAAGATGGCGGCCCTCCCTGCCTCCCGTGCGAGCAATTAAGGGTGTCCATTATAGTGGTGGCTAGATTGTGCCTCCCCAATCCCCTTAAGCAAGAGCCGACTTCCCCGACTAAAGACTAAGGGTGTCCTTCATGAAGGTTAAGTCCATCCATGGCCAGCATGAGCCATATGCTTCTGGAGACCAGTTCCTGGGGAGCACAAGTGGGGAGAGTACCGTTGCACACAGGTCCTCCCTGCAGGTTTCCCATAGGCATCTGCTGGGACCCATGAGACACAGGTTGTTGGGCTAGATGGGTGTTTAGCTTCGTCTAAAATAGGATGGGGCTGTGCTGAAGGACAAAGGAAGTTAAGGAGAACAGTAAGAAACTCTGTAGCTCCTTAAAAGACCAATAAAGCTATGTTGTTGCATTTGCTTCTATAGGCTCAGGGGTGCCAACCTGGATAAAATATTGGGGGGGGCGGTAAGCCCTGCCTCACATAATCGATCACAAGACATGGCACATGCACACCATTTGAATGGCAAGCCCCTGCCCCCCCTCAAATATTTAATGGGGGTGTGAAGGGACCTCAGCCCCTACAAGCTGGATCCTATGTACAGTGGTGCCTCGGGTTAAGTACTTAATTCATTCCGGAGGTCCGTTCTTAACCTGAAACTGTTCTTCACCTGAACCACCACTTTAGCTAATGGGGCCTCCTGCTGCTGCCGCACGGCTGGAGCACAATTTCTGTTCTCATCCTGAAGCAAAGTTCTTAACCTGAAGCACTATTTCTGGGTTAGCGGAGTCTGTAACCTGAAGCGTATGTAACCTGAAGCGTATGTAACCCGAGGTACCACTGTATAGGCTAAAACCCTTTATTCTTAGATGAAATTTACAAGGTGGCAGCTAAAACCAATGAACATGATCCAGCCAAAGTTTAAACATTCTCCGATTCTACGAGATCCAACTGGAGTTCAATTTATGCTGAATTCCCCAGCTGAACTCAATTACGACTGGAGTACAACTCCTATCATTCATGAGGACAAGCCATATTAGAGCCCAACAACATCTGAAGAGCGAGAGATTCTCTGGCCCTAGTTTAGTCCAGAATCTAAACCCACTAAATGTCGTGACGTTCCCAGTTTCTTCTAATTCCACTATCAAACATAGAAACGTCTACTGCCAGCCTTGCCATGTTGTCTGCAATGGTCATCCTCAAATCATCCAGAAATGCAGGGCATGACCATCATTTAGCATATACTCACCTGCAGAAGGGTGCTGTGCATCCCACAATTGAGTTATTTTCATCCCCATATATAGGCTCCCTTTATCCTCATCCCAGAAGTGTGTTATTTGCATTTCCTCATGGCTGGAGAGAAAGACAGGTTCAACTGGATCCTTTAACATTCATCCATAAAATATAACATTCCAGGTGGGGTACAGAATTCTAGTTACAGGGTCCCAGTGGAATCTAATATTTCCACATACAATGGTTTTTTTAAAAAAATATTTTTTTATTAGGAATTTGAACAAAACATATTATCTTAAAACAGATCATCTTTAATTCCCCCCCATTTCCCCCTCCCATAAGACGACCCACCCTTCCCTCCGCCCCTGACTTCCCTCAGCTCCAATCTCTGGTTTCTTTACAGATGCTATTCTCTGCATGTTACAAAATTGTATAAATCCTTAATTTATCTGACTGATTATTGTCAAAAAAAGTTTGTGAGTGTTTATTGAAAGCCTACCAAGGAGTCCAGTTCACTTTGTTGCTTCTTTAAGTACTTTGTAAAAGGTTCCCATTCATCTTAAAAGTCACAGTTATCCTTTTCCCGTAGTTTATGTGTCAGTTTTGCCAATTCTGCATAGTCCATCAGTTTCTCTTGCCATAGTTCTATAGTTGTGGTATCCTCATTCTTCCATCCTAGGACTCTCGCCACCGTTGTCGCATACATAAAGATATTTTTCACATTCCTTGGCAAGACCTTTCCTACAATCCCTAACAGAAATGCTTCAGGCTTCTTAACAAATTTTAGATGGAACAATTTCTTCAATTCATTGTACAGTGGTACAATCAGGTTAAGTACTTAATTTGTTCAGGAGGTCCGTTCTTAACCTGAAACTGTTCTTAACCTGAAGCACCACTTTAGCTAATGGGGCCTCCTGCTGCTGCTGCTGCGCCGCCGGAGCACGATTTCTGTTCTCATCCTGAAGCAAAGTTCTTAACCCGAGATACTATTTCTGGGTTAGCGGAGTCTGTAACCTGAAGCGTATGTAACCTGAAGCATATGTAACCCGAGGTACCACTGTATATCATTTCCCAAAACTTTTTAATTTCAATATAGTCCCACCACATATGGTAAAATGTGCCCTCCTTTTCCTTACACTTTCAACACATATTTGAGCTGGTTAATATTTCCACGTGCAGTGTTGACCACACAACATAAAAGGCAGCTAAAACACACACACATACACACAGAATGAAATTTAACTGAATTTTTAAAAACACCCTGGTCCTATATGTCTGTGTATATATTTCTACAGAATATTCTGGGTAAATTAGAGAAGGTTTTTCAGCAGTGGACTGTGGCACACAGTGGAAGCTGAATTCTATGGGATTGCCAGGCCTCCATGAAGCAGGGGTGAATGCTGTCCACTGAACAACATCACGTTCTGCCACTTTCAAGGGGCCTGCTCAATGTGCACTGAAAGCAAGTGACAATCCACTCAGGGAGGGGGGCTTAAATGGGGGGGGGGATGAGGAGGGGAACATAGAAGGAGCATACAACCCTCAGACCACTTCGTAGGTACTTTTAAATGAGAAAATCAGTGTTTCCAGGAGCCTGTATAAGGACTGCCCATGAAATATCCACCTGGGGCATACTTTTAATGGGTCATACGTTGCCATCTGCAGCAGTACCTCTGGTTACATATGCTTCAGGTTACATCCGCTTCAGGTTACAGACTCCACTAACCCAGAAAAATTACCTCGGGTTAAGTACTTTGCTTCAGGATGAGAACAGAAATTGTGCTCTGGCGGTGCGGCAGCAGCAGGAGGCCCCATTAGCTAAAGTGGTGCTTCAGGTTAAGAACAGTTTCAGGTTAAGTACGGACCTCTGGAACGAATTAAGTACTTAACCTGCGGTACCACTGTACTGTACAAAGATACCCAAGATCCTTTGGCAGCTGCAACCACTGAGCCTCTCCTATGCCCTCCTTTGGGGTTTTCCAAAGAAAAACTCAACAATTTCAGTGTTTTCCTAAAAAAAGAAGCTCAACAATGTTGGGGTCTCCTTAACTTTCAGGGTGTCCTGGTTTTTACTTTTTGAAATATGGCAACTTTTGCAGTGAAATAAGTCCACTGAATTTAATAAAATTCTGCAGCTGGCTCAGGATTACTCAGCCTCTGATGAAAGGGAGCAAGACAACACGCCTATTTTAGTCCCCTGTACCCTTGTTTCTAAGTACAGGGCTGAGAGGACACACACATTCATTGCATTTTGCTTCTGAAACCAATTAAAGGCAGACTGCAAGAGAAGATGTAATCTGGCCCCACTGACATCCTATGAATGCAAGCTACGTGCAGTTCCTGGAGACAGCTCTGAGCATGTTATTAGATCTTAGGTTCTTCTGCCCTGACTGGAGCTTGTAAGAAACACAGAGAGCCAATCACAGCTTTCCAACCCATACATACCCACACAGAAGAAATGTGGGTGTGGCCATCTAACATGACAGCTTCAAGGGCAAAATCTCATTATCTTTCCTTTTCTCCCCCTATGAGGCAATGGTTTTTATGTACAAGTTTAAAACTGTTTGAAGAAGCCTTTAAAGAATTTTATCGCTTGAGATCATTGTCAGAGCTCAAGGATGGGCAGCTAAGCAAACAAGGAGGTATGAGAGCTACGTCAGAATATCACCCTCGTTAAGTATACTTTGACAGAAAAGCAATAAACTGTGATCGGGCCAAGCAATATTCTCTAAGTTTACATGTCAGTGGGTCAAGGAGTCTAGCAATTTGATGAGCAAAGAATCAGGGAGGAGTCCTTATCTTCCACTGTCCTGCCAGGAACATTTGAGACAAGACCTGCACCAAAGCCTGCAATAAAATGATTGGCTGAAGGTGTCTTCTTTCCATCACAGCTATATTTTTGCTGTTGTTGCAAAAGGGAGAGTTATTCGGCGATGTCTGGAGAGCCTAAGGTTCCCCACTCTTGCCCAAGAATCTAGAGCTGTATTAGCACATTCTATCCCATGGAGTGGAGCGGCCTCTGCAAATACTTTACTTATCCTCCAGAGGGTGCATTAGGCTAAATAATCCATAGGCATTCAAAGTACAGTGGTGCCTTGGTTCTCAAACTTAATCCATTCCGGAAGTCCGTTCCAAAACCAAAGCGATCCAAAACCAAGGCGCGCTTTCCCATAGAAAGTAAGGTAAAGTGGATTAATCCATTCCAGACCTTTAAAAACAACCCCTAAAAAAACCATTTAACATGGATTTTACTATGTAACGAGACCACTGATCCATAAAATGAAAGCCATAAACAATGTACTGCAGTCACACACTCAATCAATCAATCAATCAATCAGTAGCTAAACTGGGTTCTACAGAGTCACACAAAAAATGAGCCGCAAAACAAACATGCTAAATAAATAGCAAAAACAGACAGACCTCAGCGTAACACTCAAAATGGAAGTGTGGCACTCAAAACAAAAGCATAGCACTCAAAATGGAGCACTTTCGGCTTCTGAAAAAGGTTCGCAAACTGGAATTCTTACTTCCAGGTTTGCAGTGTTTGGATTCCAGGTTGTCTGAGTACCAAGACGTTTGAGATCTAAGGTACCACTGTATCCAGCATGTTAAATAATTATTCTAATTGTACCTCGTATGCTGCCCCATAGCAGTTGAAGCTTCAGGGTCCCAAAAATGTAGGTCAGGATTCCTCAACCTTAGCCCTCCAGATGTTTTTGGCCTACAACACCCATGATCCCTAGCTAGCAGGACCAGTGGTCAGGGATGAAGGGAATTGTAGTCTCAAAACATCTGGAGGGCCGAGGTTGAGGAAACCTGATGTAGGTCAACCCTTGCCCTCACCCCTGCCCTGCCCTGTCACAATCCTCATATATAAATTTAATAAATAAATGAATAAAAAGTGGCAGAAATCCTGGTGTTGGGAGGGTGGCTCTGTGGCACCATCATACCAGTAGCTCCTGAGGGAGGTTTAAAACAACTCAGTGAGAACTGAGTTTTATTGGTTGAAAGCTGCATAACATAACATACTCCATCATAGGAAGAATTGCAGCAATCAAGAGGAATGTTTTGCCAAAAATGCTGTTTTTATTTCAAACAATACCAGTAATAAGTGATGCGGCTTCCCTCAAGAAGTGGCAAAAAGATATATCTAAATTTATCTGGAAAGGGAAGGGGCCGAGAATAAAATATAAAATATTAACAGATGTGAAGGATAGAGGAGGCTTCTCTCTTCCAGATTTAAAATTGTATTATGAGGCAAGCTGCATTACTTGGATCCTGGATTGGATTAAATTAGAAAATACTGATTTATTAGACTTGGTAGGACACGATAATAGATTTGGTTGACATGCATATTTATGGTATAATAAAGGGAAGATACATAAAGGATTTCATAATCATATAATTAGGAAAGCATTGATAAAGGTATGGGAAAAATATAAAGATCTATTAGAGCAAAAAACACCCTGGTGGGTGGCTCCTACAGATGCGATGTCAATCAAAAGAATAAATATGGAGGCAAAATGGCTGACATATAGAGATTTATTGATAGAAAGAGAAGGGAAACTAAGATTAAAAGATTATGATGAAAGCAAAGATTCGGTTTATGATTGGCTGCAACATTGACACTTAAATGAGATCTTTAAGGAAGATAATAAGAAAGGATTTAACCACACCATATCTAGATTCCAAAGAGAAATAACAGAAGAGAATACATAGTAAGTAACTAAAGAAAACCTACAGTTTATTGCTAGAATGGGAGACAAAAGATGAGAAGGTGAAATCAGTAATGATTAAATGGGCACAAGATATAGGACACAATATACAAATGGAAGATTGGGGAAAGTTATGGAAGAGCAATTTAAAATTTATGGATTGCATATTGTTGAAAGAGAATTATATGAAAATGATGTACAGATGGTATATTACACTGGTGAAAATGGCAAAAATGTATTGAATGAGCTATAATAAGTGCTGGAGATGTAAAGTAAAGGAAGGTACCTTCTTTCATATGTAGTGGAATTGCAAAATAATCAAAAATTATTGGGATATGATTTATAATGAAATGAAAAAAATGTTT